ATCCTGGAAGGTGGGACACACAGCGACTGTCCCGATCCTCCACCCGATCCTCTTCCACTAATCCTCGGGCTGTCCTCTTGGCATTATGCCAGGAGGAGGGCGAGACAGGTGGTGGCTGAGAGTGCTCCAGTGGGCTCTCAGTTGCTATGAACCATCCTCCTACATCTTTTTGGCTTAAGGACATGATGAGCGGTTGTGTCCTTCTGCCAAGAGGACAGAGAAAATGAGGAGGGCTCTCAGCCGCTGCATGCCTTCCTCAAGCCATCCTCCTGGCATAAGGATGGGACCACTCAAACCTCCTTATGCCAGGAGGAGGGTGAGACACATGGTGTCTGGGAGTGCTCCAGCGGGCTCTCAGTTGCTATGTACCATCCTCCTACATCTTTTTGGCATAAGGACATGGTGAGCTGTTGTGTCCTTCTGCCAAGAGGGCAGAGAAAATGAGGAGGGCCCGAGACAAGCATTCAGGGGGCCGCATCTGGCCCCAGGCCTTAGTTTGCCCATGTCTGCTATCGATTATACTTATAAGGAATCTTATTCCTGAAATATAATTTGTTGATTCCTGTGATATGAGATGGAGTTGTCAGGTTTTACTTATTGATAAAGAAATAAAGAAAATATTTTAAAAGAATCATTGAACTCTTGGGATAAAATTGCATTAGAAAGGGTTGATAGATGTAGTCATGGTTTTTTCCAGCACATAGCAAAAAGTAAATTATACTTCACAAACAGATTACCCCAGGCTGCCAGAAAATTAACCCCTACCAAAGGAATCCACCTCATAGGCCACAGTATAAAATATACTGCTGTGCTTTGATAAAGTCAATGTGTCCAGAGTACTCTTTGCATTCCTTTGGTGTTTTGGGTGTTGTGGTATTGGCTGCAGGCACTATGAGAATGTTTGAGTTGCATGAATGAATAAAGATGTCCCTGAGCTATTCGTGTAAGATAAAGCATTGCATTCACATTTTTTAAAAAATAGCTTGCCAAACCAACCAATTTGCACTGTTGATCAGCTTAGTATTATTAAATGCCTTTTAGTTATAATGCTGATAGCAGTTCTTCAGAACACCCCAAAGCTATTTAAACATCTTTTATCCAGACTACAGAAATAGAACTGCTCTGCAGCAGCAATCAATGTCAACTTGGTATTTTCTCATTATTAGTTGCAACCTCCATTTCTGACATCTTTGAACTGGGAACAGATGCCCAGTTCATGCAACACCATAAAGCCTTGGAGGCAATCAGCTACATGTGATTGAAGTGCCATCTTTGACAGCAATTCTCTGCACAACTTTATTCCATAAGACCTTTGGTGATTAACTTGCTCTGTCTATATGACTCAGATGTTTGATTGCTGAATCACATTGAGGATGACGTCAGTAGACAAAGACTAAAAAAAGATTGTGCCATTACAATAACAGCAATTTTAAGTGTTTAAATCTGTGGTACCAACGCACATACAGCTGCTGGGAAAAGATACGTTCCTAGCTAGACCTCTTTTCTTTTGCTGTTTTGCAGTGCATGGTCATAATTTGGAAGGGGGAGGGGCTTCTGTATTCACAAATAATGTGGATAAGCTAGGGAGATATAACAGCCACTGCTTTCTGCATGTCCACCACGTCTGTGTGTTGACAAACATGTCTGTGGTGGAGCCTTTGTATTTGGGTAAATAAATGTGCCAGAATTAGTAGTACCCACAGGGGAATATGAATATTGGCCTGTTCTGAGAATTACTGAGATAATGAATGTGAAGTACTCAAAGCACTTAAGAAAAGTGTTATTACTGTCATAATTAAAACATTCTCGGCAGTGATGATCACACTTTTACTGAGAGGAGCACCAGAATAATGAAGGCTATCGTTAAGCTGTTCAAGATTCTCATCGATCACATGCTTATTTTTGCTTTTGGCAGCTCTCACCTGTGGGAGATGTTTTCCTCTATCCCACCATCACCACCGGTTTGTTGATTTCTATTGCTCATCTATATGCATTTCTACTTTATTCTGTACTAGCTGTGCCCTGCCACACGTTGCTGTGGCCTTTAGTAAGAGTTTTGAAGTCTCTGCCTGGCCTCTCTTCCTTCCTTCCCTCGCTCTCTTTCCCTCTTTCTCTCTCTCACACTCCTTCCTTTCCCCTCTCTCTCTCTGGCATCCCTCCTTCCTCCCCCTTCTTTATGCTTGTGTGTAAACTTGAGTATCTTCTGTTGGTCATGGGGGTTCAGTGTGGCATGTTTGCCCCAATTCTGTCGTTGGTGGGGTTCAGGATGCTCTTTGAGTGTTGGTGAACTCTGAATCCCAGTGACTACAACTCCCAAATGTCAAGGTCTATTTCCCTCAAACTCCATCTGTGTGGATATTTGGGCGTATTGAATGCTTTGGTCCGGATCCATCATTGTGTCTTCAAAGTCGCCCCCTCCCTTCTTCCCACCCCTTCCCTCCCTGAGTCACTCCTTCCCTCCTCCCACCCCCTCCGGAAAGACACGCCCCCTCCCTTCGCCCCACCCCTTCCCTCCCTGATTGACTCCTGGAAGGAAAGGGGTGGGGCGAAGGGAGGGGGCGTGTCTTTCCGGAGGGGGCGGGAGGAGGGAAGGAGTGACTCAGGGAGGGAAGGGGTGGAGAAGGGAGGGGGCGACTTTGAAGACACGCCCCCTCCCTTCGCCCCACCCCTTCCCTCCTTGAGTCACTCCTTCCCTCCTCCCTCCCTCTCTGAAGACACGCCCCCTCCCTTCACCCCACCCCTTTCCTCCGTGACTCACTCCTTCCCTCCTCCCTCCCTCTCCGGTTAGACACGCCCCCCCTTCGCCCCACCCCTTTCCTTCCAGGAGTCAATCAGGGAGGGAAGGGGTGGGGCGAAGGGAGGGGGCGTGTCTTTCCAGTGGGGATGCGGCGCGGCGAGGCTTGGAGTGTGCGGAGCGGGGCTTGGAGGCAGCGTGGGAGGAGTAAGATGAAGGAGGGGGTGGAGGGAAGGGGGCGGGGGGAAGTTGCGTTGTTTGTGTGTGTGTGTGTGCTGTGGGGAAGTGCGGTGACGTGTTCGCGCTGGGCGGGGCGAGGGAGGGAGGGAAGTGCGTTGGCCGTTCGGCCATGTGTGCGCGCGCGCGCTGGGGACTTTGCGCCAGTGCGCATGCTCAGTTGTTTTGCCATTTTTTCTGTGTGTGGTTGTGTTGTTTTGATTTCTGACTGGATTAGTTTGTACCTAGTGGGTTGTCCTTGGGGCATGGCAATTTTGGTGGAGTTTTGTGGAGGGGTTTTAGAGTTTTGCTTCCCCGTTGGACGCCAGTAGGAAATTTATAGATATAGATAATGAATTCATGACAAGCCTGCAAGGCACAATATCTTCCACATCTTTCACAACTTCTGTTCAGCTCTCACCAGGCCCGTAGCCAGGATTTCATTTCGGGGGGGGGGGCTGAATTTTTTTCAGGGGGGGTTTCGGGGGGGGGGCTGAGTTTTGGGGGGGCTGAGTCTGAGTGAAAGAGGGTCTAGCCTAGCAAACCTTTTGTATCATTACCCCAATACCCCCATGCATATGGGATATATTGAGTATGGTGATCAGATCATGATATGAATAAACATAACAGTTTAAATAATGCACCATAAGGCCTTTTTGCGAACCACCATGAAAATTTCGGGGGGGGGGGGCTGAAGCCCCCCGAGCCCCCTCCCTGGCTACATGCCTGGCTCTCACCAATTGCTTTGCAAAGCTTGAATTAGTTTCACCATGCTCTCTGAGGTAAGGACAAAGAATTTATCTCAATTTTTATAGACGGGGAAAATCTAGCTTTGACTGAATAAGCAATTTGCTAGCTTGACTCTAAGTAGATTATGTTTTTTTTAAAAAAATAGTAAAATAAAATAATGCACAAAAGTGCAGGTGCATATCAGGATAGCAAGAAAGATTTTGAACTGGTTTAATTGACTGAAACTGTTTTAATTGGTATCTATTTCTATGTGCTTCAAATCCCAGTTGTATCTCATTGCTGATGTTTGGAAAATCAAGTCCTAGAACTGGTATATCTATTTCTATTTTATTGTCAATTCAAAAACCTTTGACTGTGTGGATCATAATAAATTGTGGCAAGTTCTTGGTGGTATGGGGATACCAAGTCACCGTGTATGTCTCCTGAGGCATCTGTATAACAATCAAGTTGCAATGGTAAGAACAGATCACAGAACAACAGACTGGTTCAAGATTGGGAAAGAAGTACAGCAGGGTTGTATACTCTCACCCAACCAATTCAACTTTTCTGCATGTGATGTGTGGGGCTTGACAAATCCAAGGCTGGAGTTAAAATTGCTGGAAGAAACATTAACAACCTTAGACATGCAGATGATACTACTTTGATGGCTGAAAGCGAGGAGAAGCTGAGGAGCCTTCTAAGCAAAATGAAAAAAGAAAGTGAAAAAGCTAGATTGCAATTAAACATTAAAAGAACTAACAGGTTGGCAGAAGCTGTGGCTAACAGCAGGAGCTCACCTCGTTCCCTGGATTTGGACCATTGAACTTTTGGTCAGCAAGTTCAGCTTCTCAGCAGTTTAACTCGCTGCACCACCAGAGAAACAAAGGATAGATTTATATTATTGGAGATATGTAAATAGAATAAATGTGATGGACACAACTAAATATTGTTAGATGCAACAAGTAAGGGTCAGAATCTGGAGACAGAGAAGCCAGTATGAGTTGCCCAAGATTCACTGTGGATAGATTTCTATCCATAGATCACTGTTGTATCCAAGGGCATTGTGAAGCTGGTTGTGATGTACAGAAAGCTCCTGAGATAAGTTCATATTATGAAAGGTTACAATGAAAACATAGTGACTGGTGATAAGGGGTTTCCCAGAATTTACATGCCAAGTAACAGCATTCCTTTATTGAAGAAAGGTATAGTATATATTATATCAGAATGTGGAAACAAAAACCTGTTTTTATTGTATATTGATGAAAGGATACACAGCCTATTGTCATTTTCACGTCGAACACCAAATAAAAAATATACAACCTTTTTACTACTTCATGTAATACTTTATATTGGATGTAGATGATAAATTATGTTTTAATTATAAAATTACTTCCATGTCTGTTCGTTAGCATTGTTATATAACTAATAATAGATAACTGATTTTGCATTAAATATAACCGATGGACAAAAAACAAAATGGGTGAGGATGGTATGTGAGTAGTTCAAGTTCAAGTTCACTTTATTACGGCCAATGATCATTTTGAGATAAGAGAGACATAGTCCCATACAAGCATATCAGAGTTAAGGGTAAAGAGATTTAAAATTTTAAAATAAGCATACCATTGTTAGGACATTAAGATAATTAACTTAAGAATCTAAGATAAAAGCCATATACAGGATTATATCAAAACTCAACACAATTTATGGAATTAAAGGGAAGAGTATGTGAGTAAGAAACCACGAGCCATTTCTTCTCAGAAAACATTTTAAGCTACAATCTGTTGGAACAAGGCTATGAGGATGCCACTAAAATTACAGTCAGTCCTCCACATGTCCTGGGTTAAGAGCACAGGAGCCCTGTGAGTGTGGGAAAAAATGAATAACATCACTATTATATTTAATCTGAGAGAATACCTATCTAGAAATCTCTAGCTCCGCCAGCATGACTCTATGGTCAACTTTGGGCAGAAGGTGACCATTGAGTTGTACTGAGGGCCTAGAGGTTTTAAAGAAAATGTGCTAACCAAATTTACAAATAATCAAATTTGCAAAATCAGAACTGCAAATGTGAGGGACCAGCTGTAAATTCATTTGTCATATACTTTGAGAAAACCTATCAATCCCAATTAGGGATAGAAATATCAGTCTATGTCTAATCCATGCCAGTTTTGTATATATTCAAGGACCTTCTTGAGATCTGCTCCCAGACTGTGGGACTCCTTTCCACAGGAAGACAAGTTGGTTTCTCTCTGCTGTCCTTCTATTGGAATGTAAAAACTTGTCTATTTAGACAGGTTTTTTTTTATCACTAATAGGATGCTTGGGAACAGTCAAAGAACAATTTTGGGTTTTTGGGGTATGATTTCCCCTTTTCTTAGGTTGTAAAAACTTTTAATTTTTTTAATTGAATGCTTGGTTTTGATGCAGTTGCTTATTTTAAAAGAATTTAAAAAGTAATATTAAAGTATTCTTTAATATTGTAACTGATTGGGATTTCAGCTGTATTCTGTTTAATTCACGTGGTAAGCTGCCTTAGTTCTTGCTCTAAGAAAAAAGGAGAGATATTAAATAAATGAAGTCCATTTTGACCTTTTCACATTAATTTCAAATTTTAAAAATGCACACACGCACATACACATACACATACACCGAACTTAAAAAAAAATATGGATTCTGTAAAGACACTTTATCTATATGTACCCCATGAACCACATTTTGATACATTTTAAAGGCCAGGAACAGCATCTAGAAATTCAAAGTCCAAAATCTCAGTGATAATTATGTTCCAACCCATACATTTATCTCAGAGAGTCAAATCAGAGCAATATACAGTTTGTGAAGATCAAGTTCCTGTAACATTTCTAGTCTGAACAGGGAATTTATTAAGCAGATCCTAGAATTTATTCTCTGCAGGGGAACAAAGTTCAAGTATAACTATCCAACTCAAAGCCTACTTTCTGAAGATAATGATTTTTATTCTTTCTCTCTCACACACACATAGAGACATTTACATACAGATATCATATCCTCTAGCAGGAAAATATGATAGTTTTTGAGAATACTGCAGTGATTCCCACTTTACACATTTCCTGGGTACATTTATGATATCAGTTTTACTACTGCAATGTCACTACTGCCTTCATTTCTGACTATTTTATTACACTATAGTTATCAAGGAGACTAATCAATATGCAGATTATAAAACAAAAAAGGAAATGAGAAAATGAAATGTGGCTGTAACACGTTTCTCTAGTCACTCCTGACCCGAAAAAAACTTAACCAGGAGAATAAATATGCGAGAACCTTTCACAGTGTTGATCAATAATCACCATTGTTTTCATCTTTGATATTTTTGAAAGAGAGAGAGAAACAGGCAGGCAGACAATGTTCATGAAGCAAAAAATATTTTCCTAGTGAAGAATGTTTTCTCTTGGCAGAAACCCAAGAATCAGAATGTAGGCTTTTGCAGCTGTGGTGAATAATCTGTCAGTAGAGAAACCATGACGGCCTAAGAAAGAAAGTGAATACATGAAATAACTAGTCACTCTAGGGAAAGGAACGATATAAATTGTAGATGAATAATAAGTTGGATTCAGAAACATAGCTCCCAATGAAACCAGCTGGACTCAGATTTACTGTAAACCACAATTAATTGATACCACTGATTTTATTCTCAATGAACTTATGGGCTACATGGGGACCAAGAAAGAAAAGAGGGTTCACAGAGGAAACTATCTAGAAGAAAGTTCTTCCAACAAAGAGGAAAGTAGAAGATGGCTTTGTGGGGAGAAGGGAGAAGGGCTGGGAAATGTATGTAGATCTAGGTGGGATTGTATTGTTGGGTGATGAAGAAAGAAAAATAGAGGGCTTGGGAAACCTAGAAGCATAACAAATGAATAGGCTGGGATTCAACATATTGACTTCAAATCATCTAGTGATGTGACTGCCCATCATAAACTCTCTTTAGGTATTCTATATAAATCTATGGAGGGCCAAGTGGGGGCACACATGCTAGCTTCATCTTTTTGACAATGCTGGCTCAATCTAAAGTGGGTATCTTCTACATGAATACAGGTTCTTCTACAGGAAAAGGACTTTGATTCACCATAGTTCTTGTCCAGGTGTTGGGAACCCTATGTGTATAGAAGGTCTCAGATTAGGCCAAGATAGCCTCAGATGGCTAGGAGTGTGGCAACCCCTAATATTGTCCAATGTGATCCAATGGAAGCACAGAGATGAGTAGAGTTGTTGGGGGGTGGGGGTGGGATAAGGGCTATATGATGGGAACTGGAATAGAAGTCATCCAAAGGTCTTTTGAGTAATTCCTGAGTAGAGTTGAATAGAATATTTGGCATTATTTATTCACTGAATGAGACACTTGGGACAAACCTGGTCAGAAAGAATAACCTTATCACAAAAATGCTGCACTTTTTGGTCACTATTCACATGTCTCTAAGTGTTTCAAGAAATTATTCTGCTAAGAAGTGTGTGTGAGTGTGCGCATGTGTGTGTGAAAACAGGACTGTTTTCCAGAAAAGCATTTTAATTTTTTAGCAAAATGTTTTGTTTTTGCACGCAAAACCCATATCACTCTTGCACAAAGATATCATGTGACTATATGGAAAGGCTTTTCATGCAATATGTTTTTCACACAACATATTTTCCTATAAAAAAGAACATTGATTCTAGATAGCCAATTATGCTGGGCTTTGTACAAAATCAGGTATTTGGGAATGATGACCACGCATCTTTTCTCTGCCAAAAAGCGCACATAGAATCATAGATTCAGTGTGCTTCCTGCCAGGATTCACAGCTGTTTCCATACATTGCAGTGTTTTGGTGCTAAATTTGTAAACACCGTAAGTACTACATAGTTACTGTGTATTGAACTGCTTTTTCTGTCTATTTGTTGTAAAATATGATGTGTTGGTGCTTAATTTGTAAAATCATAACGTAATTTGACATTTAATAGGCTTTCCCTTAATTTCTCCTTATTATCCAACATTTTCACTTATCCAATGTTCTGCCGGCCCATTTAGATTGGATAAGTGAGACTCTACTGTATCGAGAGAAAGGAGGTTGGGATGTAACAGCCAAGTAAATTGCTAGAGTAGAGTGGCATCATCTATATGGCAGCACAATAGCTATTTGTGTCATCAGTGCTATGCCTATATATAGGATTAGAATGGCCATACCATAATTGTCCATTTCCTGTTTTCAGCTTCTTGAAAAACTAGTGATTGTGGAGAATAAAATACTTCATCATCAACTTCTTCTGGCTTTCTGGGTAAACAGTGTAAAAATGTCCAATCGGGAGCAGCCACTTTACAAGTCTACAAATTGAGAAGAAAATATATAGAGATCTAAGATATACAACATGAATTACAGAAGACCACACACCAAGTTAACAGCTGAAAGGAAGTACCACCTACTATATTTGTCAAGATTGGTTTCCAATTTTGACAAGACTGCTGGGATCATATCAACATAACAAAAGTCTAAAAGAACTGGATACCTATTCTACTTCTGGTTGTTTTGTCCGCACCACAGTTATTACTGTAATTGCTCTCTTGCTCAATGCTGTGTGAGATGTGAGGAGTCTATTTCAAGTTTTGTGCTTTGTGGTCTAATTAGAGGATAGGAAGTATTTAGTCCTTTCTTTGTGCACTTAGGGAGAGAAGTATTTGGCACAGATATTCCATCTTGTCACATTTATGCAAAATGTGACATGTACGGCTTGTGGGGGAAAGGATATATTTATATCATTTGTTCTTTTATGCTCATTTCATATACTACTGTCAAATGAAATAAGAGAGAAAGTTTTCAAAGTGCCTATATTTATTAAAACACTGAATGTGTTTTAGAAAGCTTTGACATGAGAGCTTCTCAACTGTTTCTGAAGTGCACGAACGCTTTGAGACACCTTGAGTCCCCTGCGGGGTGAGAAAGGCAGGGTATGAATGAAGTAAATAAATAATAAATACATTTTATCAGTTTGATTCTGATGAATGTAATATAGATTGCATTAAAGGGTGAAGGTTTTCCCCTGACATTTAAGTCCAGTCATGTCCGACTCTGGGGTTGGTGCTCATCTCCATTTCTAAGCCCAAGAGCTAGCATTGTCCTACCGGAGTGGTACCTATTGATCTACTCACATTTGCATGTTTTTGAACTGCTAGGTTGGCAGAAGGTGTGGCTAACAGCGGGAGCTCATGCCGCTCCCCGGATTTGAACCTGTGACCTTTTGGTCAGCAAGTTCAGTAGCTCAGCGGTTTAACCCACTGCGCCACTGGTGGCTCCATAGATTGCATTACAGAGTCAAGTAAATATATGCAAACGGGGGGGGGGGGGTTGTGTTCCTATTCCCCTGGTTTGCTTTATTTTCACCCCATTTTTAATCTTTTGTTTTCATTTATTACTGTGACATCATGAGAGTCTAACCTGACACCATCTTATCAATATTTGTGGTTTCAGAAGCTAAATCATAGAATCAATGCTTTTCTAGATCTCATGAACCCTAAACCAAGAGTGGAAAAAGTGCAGCCATCGGCTTCATGTATTCCATTGGGGCTAAGATTCCACTGGCTAACTTTTCAGTACCTGAACCCCACTCCAAGACTAGCAAACCTTCAAATTTATTATTATTTACTTATTTTTACCCTGCCTTTCCTATAGGGATTCAAGGCAGCTAATAATAACACGACACAGCCCAACAAAATGTAAAAACAAGAGAAATACAAAAATTATAAAAATATTTATGTCATTGATACAAAAGTTAAAATATAATTAAATACACTTAAGAATACATTTAAAAGCTCAATATCATCATAAATGCTTTTCTTCCATGGCCTCTCACTCCTATCAAACTAACATTTTGTGAAACTGGCCATATTTAAGCTAATTCCTGTAACGCGGACTGAGGCTGTGTAATTTCTTTTCATGGTGGGTAACCCACAGGAGGAGGGGGAGATGGCTTCCATCGACTCTGCAGTTGCCTGTCCTTGCCTAATAATAGATATATTTCTAAGCCAATATGAAGCAGATCTGTTCTTTTGACATCTGACCTGTTCTTCTATACTTCCTTAGTAATTGGACATTGTCCATCAGTATTGTAAAGTAGCTATAGTATCACTGGAACAAAAAACATAATGTAAGTTTGGACAGTTTTATTAAACAAAAACCAAATACATCAAGTATACTGAGGGGAGAGAATTGGGCAGCTCTTGTAAATGGGACAGGCAGTGCTATTAAGAAATTGTTAAAGTTATATAGAGTGTATATGTGAGTGCTGTGTTAGAAGTCCCAGATGATATTGGCAAGATTACAAAAACACACACATTTACATAGAATGTATTAAGTCTATTAGTATACTAATGTAGGTGCACCTGCTATGCTGGAAGTCGTATACAGATTGAACGTCCCTTATCTGGAACCTAAAATTCTCCAAAATTGTCCACATGAAACAGGAACCTATCCCTATTATTTCCTCACTATTTCTGAGTCTGATACCAAATTTTCTGTTAAAGAAGGAACACATCTACTCCCTTAAATGAGTATACCCATAAACACATATAAGCTTATGTCATCTACTGCAACTCTCGCCATAGGTGTAACAAGGATGCTCTTGACTCTATGGTGTGTTGGAAGTACATCTTGGGGCCCTTCCAGACAGACCCTATATCCCAGGATCTGATCCCAGGTTTTCTGTTTATCTGAGATTAACTGGCAGCGCAGACTCATGTAATCCAGTTTAAAGCAGAAAACCTGGGATCTAGGGCCTGTCTGGAAGGGCAGCTTTATACTTCCTTCCTGTACCTACCTGTACCTCTCTTTTATAATATAGCAGTCTTGCAAGTGGTTAATCTTCGAATCCCCTGGCCCCTATATGACGCTGTTTTGCACTATCCCATACCCGGTCCTTTTGATAGCCTGATCATGCCCATCTTAGCACTTCTGGTTATTGGTTTTTTTTTTTTTTTGTGTATTGTTTGAGTGAGTTCTACAGCTGCTGTTTTATACCCTTATGTTTTATTTGGTGGTGTTTTATCTGATTGTTATGCTTTGCTATGTTTTATTTTAATTGTATTTTTTGTTTTTAATGGATTGTTTGTTTTGATGTTTTGTGGACACCTTGTCCCATGTGTGAGCTGCCCCGAATCCCTTTGGGGAAATGGAGGTGGGGTACAAAAATAAAGTTATTGTTGTTGTTGTTATATTAATCAGCACTTCTCTCAGGGCCAGCAACTAGGGCTCAACTAATGCAAGGCTTATCCTTTGGGCTGCTCAAGCTACATCAGTGTAATCAAGAAGTATTGACTATGGTATTTCATATTAGGAATCAGAATAAAAATCCAGGTGGATCATTGAGTACATTATGTGCATGCAAGTATAATGTATTTGTAATGGCAATAATCGGGTACTAAATCATTGAGTACATTCTGTGTATGCAAGTATAATGTTTTTGTAATGGCAATAATCAGGTATTAAATCATATGGTAGAAGCCCACAATATATCCCTGTCTGTCAATAACTCATTACATATTAATATAATACATACTCAGATGTTCATATCATAGGAAGTAGTATGGAACACATCTATTATAGGCATTCTGAGAAATGAATGTAAAATCCAGTCAACTGATCTATTGATTCTATTTTTTCCGGAACCAACTTTAACTATTTCATTTGATTCAATTTTCAAATTGTATAAAAATAGTTCTCCAACATTTCATATTTTTATACAAACAAGTGCAAACTCTACCTGGCATGTTTTTATTTCTAGCAGTCAGATTAGCCCCGTTCATTCAGAATAAGATTTAATACCTTTGTTAAAAATGCTAAAGCTGCAAAGGGAGAGCAGGAAGAAGGCAGTTCTGCAAATCATTTGAAAGTAAGAGTCACCTAAAACCCACCAGAAAAAATTAATTATACAATAAAATAAGTGTCTCATATAGCACCTTGAGTATCTCATTGGAGATAAACAGAAATAGTATGACAAGAAAAATAGAGAAGTGACACTGGTTTCACATGAGAAAGAAAGATTTTTAAAATCTGTGTTAAGTTTGTATTTCATTGATTCCCCCCATTTAAACTTTTAGGCTTCAGACTGAAAAAATTGTCCATTCTTTAGAGGGGTTCCCACCTCTGATCTAAATGCTGAGTGTTGCTTTTATTTCTATTTCACAGCAGAAGCAAATGCCTCCCTCTGGCTGTATTCCATTCAATTATGCATTCGTCATTTATTGCTCTCTGCAGTTAATGATTAGAAAACTAAACTAGAAGGTATCTTGCAGTTTGGTGTGAAAAAAAGGTTTCTTGGTTTTGCTCACTTTCTTCATGTGTTAGTGGGGCCTCTTTGCATACACAGAACTTGACAAAAATGCCGTGTTCACGAACAGCAACATCAGTGAACAGAAATATCTACTTGTTCCAGTTTTCAACACCACCTAATGTAAATGAGATCCAATACATTTTTGGAGCTATCTGTTGAAAACTTTAAAAAACACATAAAAACGAAATGACAAGGCTTTTGTATTTTACCTCCATTGTGATCTGGTAACCATGGAAAGTTTTCAGCCTCTTCTGTTTTTCTTCTTCTTGCCCCATACTTATCCATGTGTCTGTGATCAAAACATTAGCTCCATTGGCAGCTTCAAGAGGATTGGTGGTGATAAACAGTTTGGTGCAGTACTAACATAAACAAAGCAAAAAAAGTAAATAGAGTTCATAGGCAATGCAGAATAAAGAACATTTGAAAAATGCATATTCATACCTTTCTGGAATAAGCTTGTGCTATTTGAATCACAATGGGATCTGGCTCAAAACCCTGTTGAAAGAAAGCACATTGGTATAACATATTTCATTTTTGTAACTAGCACATAACAAACATTAAGCATTATGTACAAACCTAGTGTAGTTTTCTATATAATGTGGTGTAGTAGTTTGAGTATTAGACTATGGAGACCAGCTTCTGAAACCTTGCTTGGCCACTGGATAACCTTGAGCAAATCATACTCTCAAACTTAGAGGAAGGCAAATGCAAACCCATTCTGAGCAAATTTTGCCAAGAAAACCCTGTCATAGGTTTGCCTTAGGGTTGCTATTAGTTGGAAACAACATGAAGACACACAACTAGAAGAATAATTGAGCAAATAATGCCATTCCCATCTTCAAAGGAGACATAAACTGTGGAATCTGCTATCACAAGATGTAGTTAGAGCCACAAACTTGACATGCCTTGAAATAAGATTAAATGGGTTTATTTACTTTAGGGCCATCTATGGCTGTTTGTCAGGATAGCTATGTATCACATCCAGTATCAGAGGCCATAATGCCTCTGTATATCACTTACCAGGGAACATGAGCAAGATTATTGCATTCGTTTCCTACTTGTGAGAAAGAGGAGAAAAATATTACACTCCCCCTGAAGGCACAGGTCCATAGTTTGGGAGTTCTCCTGGTCTCAACACTGAACCTGGAGGTCCAGGTATCTGTGGTGGCTGAGAGGGCTTTTGCAAAATTAAAACTTGTGTGCCAACTGTCCCTGTCCCTTGAGATGTTACATAGTTACATCCTCTCTGGGCTACCGTAACACACTCTACCTGGTGCTGCTTTCTACAAGTGTTCAGAAAATTCAGGTGGTCCAAAGAGCTGCAGTCAGGTTGCTAACTGCGGCTGGCTACAGGGAGTGAACAAGCCTTCTGTTGCAGCAGCTTTATTGTCTGGCAATTTCTTTCCGGGCACAATTAAAAGTGCTGGTTATGAATTTTAAAGTACTACACAGCTCAGGTTCGGGCTACTTGACTGACGACATCTACTTCTATGAACGTGCCCAAGCCCTGAGATCTTTAGGAGAAGGCCTCCATCTCAAGCTCGGCTGGAGGGCTGGAGAGAGCGGGCCTTCTCAGTGGCTGCACCTCAACTCTGGAACTCTCTCTCCAGGGAAGCCAGAACGGCCCCCTCTCTGGTGTCCTTCTGGCTGCAGACTAAAACCTTTTTATTCAGACAGGTTTGCAAAGACGAAGGTTATAAAGACGAAGATCTAGTCAGGGTGCTGTGGTTTTTAACTTTGAATACGTTTTTATTATTTTTAACTGTGATTTTTAAAAATACATTGATATTTAATTCTGTTTTAATGTTTGTAGATTTTAAATTGTATTGAAATGCTTTTAATGAGTCTCCTTGTGGAGAGAAAAAGCAAGGTATAAATAAACATAATAATAATAATAATAATAATAATAATAGGCTTACAGTTTGTAAAGATGTCTTTGTTTTGTCAATTTGGATGGTTTGTAGAAATATCAATACAGGCAGAGTGTTTGACCATGTGAGCTCTGAGAGATAAATTGATAAAACCCAGGCAATTAAAACTCAATTGTATTAACAACAGAAACACTTCTGCCTGCCTTGATATATTTCAAGACCATCCGAGGTAAAAAGAAATACAAGATCTTGTCAAAATGTAAGTTTGTGATTCTAACATCATCATTTTTTTTCTTTTCCTGTATAACTTTAACAGTTTTGCCTGATGAAGTAGTCAGTGGATTTCTGGAAACATCAATGATGTATTTTGTGCATGTCTGGTTGCTCTTTTGAGAATTCCAAGGGATGGAGCACTCAAAATCTCTCCATCAAGGTCGGATGCATGTAATTGATTGTTCCTAATCTTATTTTCAGCCCTCCACAAATGCAATGAAAAAGGTATTTTTCCAGTGGTTTTAGAATTAGATATTCACTGGTTACCTTATACAGCCTGTGGGTTTGTCCAATCTACTTACTATATGTTCAGCTAAAGGGGAGGAGAAGAGGAATAACTGATTTTCTTTCTTAGGCAAACTAAGTACAAAATTGGGATTCCCATGACCTCATCTGTCCCAACCCATATCCTTTCTTTCAAGTTACAAGATTTTCTTACTTTTGGAGTAGCAATGTGCAGATCCATCCCAAATTTAGCAGCGCTCAGCATAATAGAATTCAGAACATTATTTCCGTCACCTATCCAGCTGAGTGTCAAACCTTTCAATGATCCATAGTGTTCCTAACAACAAAAGTATCAGTACAACATGGTAACTGATTTTTTAAAGCAATGATAAATAGCAGTAGGTGATTTGAGAAACAACAGTATCACAACAATACGATTATTCAAATTTGTTAACTATGTAATGTATTATATTTAAAATCATGCTCATAATTTGTAGTCTAGTTTGGATTACAGGCTGTTCTCAACTTACAAATGACTCATAGGTAAGAAAGTGGGCAAGACAACATAAGAGAAATTCTAGGAAGGGAAATTCACTCCTGAAAGAGATATCACAGGGAAAGGGTAACTCCACTGAATCTTTATCACCATTTCCACAAGAAGCCAAATTTTTCAAAATCCATTGATCACAAGGACAGAAAGTGAGGTGAAATGTTCTGAACAGACAGCAAAACAAATAGCACAGGAATGTTAACCCTTCCCCATGCTATCCAAAGCTTCTCTCTCTCTCTATCTCTATCTATCTATCTATCCATCTGGCTGGAGTTACACTTAAAAATGCACCTTTTCTGACTTACACACAAATTCACCTTAAAAGCAAACCTGCAGAGCTTATCTTGTTCATAACTTTGGTATTGCCTGTATTCCTAATCATCAAATTGCCAATCCAAATTTCTCAGAGTCCACCATACTCAGGGTAGTCTGATTCAGTGTTGAACAGCTCTTACCAGAAAGAAGTTCCTTGTAATATTTAATCAGAAGCTCCTTTCCTGTAATTAGCATTTACAGTTTATGTGCCACTCTATAGAACATTATAAACATACTTGCTCCATCTTCCATGTAACAGACCTAATCATTAAGATGGCTATCACATCACTTGTCAATCAGGCTAAACATATCAAACTTCCTTATTCTTCTTAGGGCACACCTACACTGTAGTATGAAAGCAGTTTGACATCACTTTAACTATCATGGCTCAGCACTGTGAAATTATGGGAGTTGTAGTTTTATGAGGAACCAGCATTACTTGGCAGAAAAAACTAAAGACCTAGCAAAACTAGGGGTTTTTTTGGGGGGGAGGGGGGCAATATTGGTAGGCAGGTTGCTACTGATAGACCAATAGTTCCTCAGTGTAATCCAGCATGGGTCTTATGTTCTTCAATCATCCCAGAGGCTAAAGAATAATAAAAATGTTTTAAGACTCCAAAAGATCTAAATAGAGAAACATCTGAAACACACAGCTTATCCAGAACAGAATCTTATACTAACTTATGTGTCACTTCTCTCCAGGAATCATTGGTGAGCTCTGAGTCCCTTTGGATCTGGTCTGTAAACCAACTATAAATCCATCTATCAGTAGTATCACCTAGCCAACATTTTAATAGTTTATCTGCGGAAATATCATGAAGGACCTTGTTTAAAGTCTTACTGAAACCAAAATGTAGTACATCTACAGGTTTACCCTTAGCTGCTAAGTTTGTAACTGTTGTTTTAAGAGAGAAGACTATGTGGCATGACTTCCTTCTGAGAAACCCAACCTGACTCTCAATAATTGCAACACTCCTTATAGTACTCACAAACTGATTAATAACTTTAGATTTTTTCCAGTTACCAATAACAAGCTGATTGTTCAGATCCTCCAATTTAATTCTTTTTAAAGATGCCCATCTCTAGGCTTCAGGTACATCTTGTGCTCTCCAAGAATTCTCAAGGGTTGTAAACAGAGGCTGTGAGATTACATCTATTAGGTCTATTAGCTGTAGCCAAATATGAGCTAGTTCCACAAGGGCATACATGATGCTGGATGACTTGGAGTAAATACAATGCTGGGCCTGCCTCAATTCCCATGTAAATTATCGAGCTTACTTATGATGAACAAGTCCCATTAATTTTATTCTCTATGTAGGAGTAATGCTGACTGTAGCCTATTTATCTTGATTGTATTATACATGTTCCATATTCATTTGTGACTTAGAGCAATGTCATGAATTCCAAAGGATTTTCTTTAGCAATAAATATTCAGAGCTGGTTTTGCCAGTCCCTTTCTCTGAAAAATACCCATACCCATACATGCATGCAATTTTATAGGATATATTTTCAATCTTAATATATGTTATATTTTAAGACACTACACAATGAACCATATACACTAAGACCGAAGAAAATATGAATGAGGATTCAGTTCTAAGGTGTATCCCAGAAGGTGACTGGCAAAGGAATAAATGCCAGCACACCAACAAGCAATAAACCGTTACATAAGAACAGTGAGTCATTTGTGATTACTAAAAGCCTGTCAGTTCTTGGTGATACAATAAAATATGAGTGGTAGGCAAATGGGAGCAGGCTGTAAATCAACAAAAAATATGCGAGGAAAATTATTTGTTTCACTCTGCACTATAATTGGGCTATGATTTCTTTTGTACTGGATCTCATGGTGTTACTGCTTTCAAAGCAGCTTACAAAGGCAGAAGGAACAAGAGCTATTCAGAATATCTCACTGCCCAACAGAGTCCCTACTCCATTACAGTGTAGTAGGTATTTCAGTCCCGAAATAATATTTATACCTGAAAAACAAAGCAAAACAAAAAACAAAGAAGCACACAGCACAGGCTGAGTATCTCTTATCCAAAACACTTGGAAGTTGAAGTGTTTTGGATTTTGATTTTTTTTTCAGACTTTGGAGTACCTGTATTTGCATAAACATACAAAATGAGCTATATTAGAGTTGGGGCCCAAGTCTAAGCACAACATTCAACTATCTTTCATAAGCGGAAGACAATTTTATACACAATACTTTTCATAATTTTGTGCATGAACCAAAGTTTGTGGAACCACCAGAAAAAAAAAGAGTCACTATCTCAGTCACACACGTAGACAATTTTGGGGTACAGGCAGTCACCAAGTTACAAACACTCGACTTAGAAACAATTCATAGTTAAGACTGGGGTGAGACAACAGGAAGTGAGAGAAATGTACTCCTGGGAAGGGAAATTCACCCCTGAAACAGTTAGCATGGGGAAAAGGGGTCTCCACTGAAGCTTTATCACCTACTTTTGTTTTCACAAGCCATTTTTAAAAAATCCAATGATCACAGGGAAAGAAAGTGAAATGAAATCTTCTGAACAGGGATACAGGCAGCAAAAAGAAAAAATACAGGGGTGTTAACCCCAGGATCGTAGCCAGAAAAAAATTTCGGGGAGGGTTGAAAATTTCAGGGGGGGGGAGGTTTGAAAATTTCAGGGGGGGGAGGTTGAAACCTACCTCCTAGCTCACACTGAAGCAAAGAGCACAGCAAGGGGCAGAGCAGCCTTCAATAGCCTGCAGCTCCGCCCCTGTCAACCACCTCCACCACGTCTGGCCTCCTTAATGAGAGCATTCAACACTCGCCCCCCCCCCCCCAACTTGGTTGCTTCGCTACAGCAGCTATTGCTGCAAGCAATGACAGTGTGAATAAATTGTCAATATTTGCTTGAGATAGTGCTTACAGTTCTTGAGGGACTCTTAATTTTTTGCGTCTCATAGACTTAGCATGGGGATTTGGTTAACCAGTTAAAATTCATGAGTAAATCAGTTTTTTTTAACCTGAAACATTTGGGGGGAGGTTGAACCCCTAAAACCGCCCCCTGGCTACACGCCTGGTTAACCATTGCCTATGCTATCCAGAGCGCGCGCTCTCTCTCTCTCTCTCTCTCTAAATATAAATATAAATATATATGGATGGAGTTAAACTTAAAATATATTTCATCTTTCCTGTTAAGGGTCTCATGGAAAGAGCCATTTGCGTATATAGCAGGACTCAGTCAATTTTCCATTTTTCTTTGTTTTCTTCATTCATACTGAAGTATGCCCACTCATAAGTTGGGTGATTCATCTTTATGCAGCAAATGGCTTTCCCATGAATATTCTAGCATTTCCTAAAGCACGCAGATTAAGTTAGAATAACCGAAGTATATCCATAGATACTTGTGTACAAGTGCAGAGGAATTGCAGGCCAGTTTGCACAAATGCAAGTGTTTAAGGAAAGCTACATCAGGAATGCACATTACAAATTTTGAATAAAACATAAAACAAACACAGTTCCCATGTATAATGTGGAACTGCTCACAAAGGACAAGATGAACTAGTAAAGATTTACATACATCTGGGTCAAATCAACTCTGAACCAATTTGTTCAATTTGCATTTGGAAGATGAATAACTTTCTGATTGTTAACTATTATCAGCCATTTAAGCTGTTGTTGATGTTGTTCTTCTTACGATTATCCTATCTTTTTCTAGTTTGGGACTCAAGGTCATGCACATCAGGTTAAAACAGACATTCTTAATATTTAAATATCTTTTGATGGGTGCTATTGTTTTGGCTATTGTTATGTTGTATCTTTTGATACAACGCTTTTGAACTGAGGTGCTGGAGGAAAATTCTGAGAGTGCCTTGGACTGCGAGAAGATCCAACTAATCCATACTTCAGGAAATAAAGCCTGACTGCTCATTGGAGGAAAGGATATTAGAGGCAAAGATCAAGTGCTTTGGCCACATCATAAGAAGACAGGAAAGCTTAGAGAAGACAATGATGCTGAGGAAAATGGAAGGAAAAAGAAGAGGGGCTGACCAAGGTCAAGGTGGCTGGATGGCATCCTTGAAGTGACTGGTTTGATCTTGAAGGAGCTGGGGGTGGTGACAGTTGACAGGGAGCTCTGGCATGGGCTGGTCCATGACGTCATGAAGAGTCGGAAGTGACTGAACGAATAAACAACAACAACATGTTGTTTCTGTTTTACTATGAATTTTGGGGTTTTTTTACAGAAAACTTCTGAAACTAATAATTTAGGTAGGTATTTTGATGACTGACTGTGTGACTGATGAACTCAAAAAAGTCTCAAAAATCGTCAACATTTTCAAATACCGTTTAATTACTTTTCAAACACAATTGTAAATAAAGGTTTATCAAACATCTGCTAAAGGAGATTGGCTCAATATCATGGAGCATGAAGGAACTCCCTTCTTGCTGTTATCCTTGTGTGTATGAGATTTCAAGTCACCTGTCGACTTAGAGCAACCCCATTAATTTCATAAGGGATTTTGGGCAAGGAATATTCAAAATGGATTGCCTGTTCCTTCCCCTGTTATCATACAAGTAATATTGAAGAAAGAATATATCAAGAGCAGATGGCTAGAAAATGTTATTAAGCTACTGCTTGAAGTAATTTAATTCCAACAATCTTGATGCTTACCCCCTCACAAGCCCATAGCCAGGATTTCGATTCGGGGGGGGGGGTTGGGGGGGTTGGGGGGGGTTGAGTCTGAGTGAAAGATGGTCTACCCTAGCAAACCTTTTGCATCATTACCCCAATACCCCCATGCATATGGGATATATTGAATCTGCTGATCAGATCATGATATGAATAAACATAACAGTTTAAATAATGCACCAGTAAGGCCTTTTCGCGAACCACCATGAGAATTTCGGGGGGGCTGAAGCCCCTCAAGCACCCCCCCCCCCCCCCCCCCCCCCCGGCTACATGCCTGCCCCCTCACCAAGACTCCCCAAACCAGCACTATATACAAAAATGCCAAACTAGTCAGAGCTGCAGCCCTATATAAAGAGAACAGATTGTTCAAGAGAAAAAATGGGGCAATGAGGAATGGTGGATCTGTTGGTGGCAGCACACTTTAGACAGTGATATGTAAAAGGAGATCAGCATCTAAACAGCCCAGTTATTGAGAATCTAGAACCTAAAATCTGGCTTTTAGTCTCAGGGGATGATGCCAGTAATTCAAAGAAAGTATCAGAATGGGAAAGGACTTGCTCACAGAACCTGTCCAAGTTTGCACCACTGCTTATCAAGATCTATGTTGCTTGCACTCCTCTGCATGGCTGTATTGCTGCCCCCAAAGTACAGTTCAATGTGCTCTAGAAGAACAGCTCTAGAATCAGAAAATATTGAAATAGATGGGCCTCATTTAACAGCCTCATCTGCTTTTGATTGGCCAATCAAAAGCAGAAAAAGCCATGCAGTTGGAGCTGTAGTAATATTTAAGGCTACATCTAGAAGTGGTTCATGGACCATATTTCTGAGCTTCTCATGAAACTGTCTAGGGAACTACCTGCTTGAAACCGGACTTTTTCTTAACTTAGTTTGAACTGATTAGAACTTAACATCTTCTTTGTTTTACTTGGCTTTAGTGAAACCTAACCTCTGCTTTGCTTGAATTTGCTCATCTTGATGTTGCCTTACCAGAATCTGAACAGATGCCACAATCCAACTCCTCATCTTTGAGGTTTGAAGTTGGTGATTCAGTGGAAATCAGAATATTCACTTCACTTTGCCCTGTTTCTCATGTCAGAATGTAACCTCACATATCACCCTTCGCAAGCCTAATGAGGTCATTGCCTGGCCCAGAACTACCACAAAAAAAAAAAAAGCACAAATGCCAGCAATCTCCCCCATTCCAAATAATTTAAAATACTGAACATTTGTCCAATGCATTTCAAATTTCTTACTGACTTATTTTGGAATTCCTTATCACAGATTTGTAGTATGGGTTCCACACTATATATAGAAATACTGAGGCTAACACCAACTTGCTTAAGGTCCCCTTGTGAATTTGTAGCTTTAGCAACATTTGAACCCGTCATTCTTTAGGCCACTACTCACATTCTGACTTCTTGTACTAATCTGTCTGTTTTTAGAGGATGCCATATCTCACACAGTTAGGATTTATGTCTGAAATTTTAAAACTGCAGCTAGCTCAAAGCTAAGTTGTAAATCAGGGAATAGAACATTACCTGAAGTGTAAGGTAATCAGCCAAAATCTGGATAGGATGGTCAGAATCTGACAGTCCATTTATCACAGGAATTGTGGCCTCTTGTGCCAACATCTCTAGATCACCCTGTTTATAGACTCGTGCTAGGATTGCATCTGTCATGGTTGACAATACTCTAGAGAGAGAAAATGAACACAATATATCACCAAAAGTAATAGCACAATGGTTGGTCTTTTCCTTCTGCTGCTGTATAACTTAGGATGCATCCACACTCTAGAATGAGTGAAGTCGACACAACTTTAACTGCCATGGTCCAATGCTATGGAATCCTGGAAGTTGTCATTTGGTGAGTCACCAACACTATTTGGAAGACAAAGCTAAAGATCTTGTAAAACTGCAACTCTCATTATTCCACGGCATTGAGTGATGGCAGTAAAAGAAGTGTCAAACTGCATTAAATCTATAGTAACGATGCACCCTTACAGTTTTCGCAGCAGTTTAAATACTGGCTTATGTTTCACGGTTAACTATTTTAAACACTTCAAAAACAATGCTACATGCTCATGAGTGAAAATATATTAAGAGCATTTTACATCAAAATATGAATTAATAATGTAGAAAGAAACTAAATAGACCCATTCAAGAAAACAAATTTGTTTTTAAAACTACATTTAATTTTCATGAGGTTGGTACAATGTACTTTGGGACAATGTAATTTTTAAGCTGCCTTAATTCTGAGACTAGGAAGATTTTGAGATATAAATAGGTATATTCAAAGGATGATGATGATGATGTATAATCCAGAAGATGTGAAGCAGAAAATAACTATTGTTTGTTTCCTTGTAATATATGTATACTGTGTAATGTTGAACTAAAACAGCATATGTCTAATACAAGTTGCTGAGAAACACAAGTAAGCAGGTACTATTGTGTTCATTGAACTATTGTTCCAGATCAGAAGACAGGGACACCAGTAGGGATTCCCCCATTTCCATTTCCCAATTGGAAAGACAAGGAAAGTGCCAAGGAAAGCGCAATAGAAATCTCTGCTGTTATCTATTTCTACTGAAGATATTAGTGAGCTTAGCCTGTACTGTGTTCTCTGTTATGAAAGAAAGCAGAATGTTGGCAAAGGGGAATTGATCCAAGGGAAGCTGGTGCTTGTTCCATCTTCCAAATTTCCTCTATTCATGGAAATCAATGAAGAATCAAAGGCATTTAGTTTGGACCAGAGAGCTAAGTGACTCACTCTCTTCTTTTAAAAAAATATTTTATTAAGGATTTTTTACATTAATAGGTAAAAAGACCCAACTCGGCATGGGTCATGGAAGGTAGGGGAAGAAAAAGAATGGAAGAGTAAGGGCAGATCTGGGAGGGGTGTGTGTGAGGTGGGAGGGTATAATGCTAAGAATGGGGGGGGGGGGAGAGAAGGTGTAGGATCAAAGGGAGGGGGATGGTTTCAGGTTGTACTTCCATTCTTCTCTATAATGGGTTTCTGCTATACGTTGCTGTCCTTGTATTTCTTCATTTGCACCCCCTTCTTCCCTTTCTCCTCATTTCTTAAAACATGAACTGAATAGGCATGGCTCTGTTCTTAGTCTCTCTCCCTGAAAGTGAAGGGAGCAGCAAAGCTGGATCTAGTTTATGCTGCCATGGACCTAAGACAGAGTATGGTTATACCTCCAATGTGTCCAGAGAAAGGCGATTAAAATGACTATGGGTCTGGAGAACAAACCCTGTGAGGAGCAGCTTAAAGAGCTGGGCATGTTTAGTCTGCAGAAGAGAAGACTGAGAGGAGACATGATGGTCATGTATAAATATGTGAGGGGAAGTCACAGGGAGGAAGGAGCAAGCTTGTTTTCTGCTGCCCTGGAGACTAGGATACAGAACAATGGGTTCAAACTACAGGAAAAGAGCATTAGGAAGAACTTCCTAACGGCGAGAGCTGTTCAGTAGTGGAACTCTCTGCCCAGGAGTGTGGTGTAGGCTCTTTTTAAAAAAAACTGAGGCTGGATGGCCATCTGCCAAGGGTACTTTGAATGCAATTTTCCTGCTTTGTGGCAGGGGGTTGGACTGGATGGCCCAAGAGGTCTCTTCCAACTCTATGATTCATGATTCTATCCTCTGGCCTATGTGGGGTCAGAGGAGTGAGAATCCTGTATTGTTTTTCTTTACTTAGAGTTTACTTGCCCAAGTCTTAAGACTTTATCACACATCAGGTGGACTGCATTTACAGCAGGATAACAGCAGGACTTATCACATGATGTCATTCCTTTTCTGTTGTTCTCTCAGTGGGAGACTGTTGGAAGGCATTTCTTTTACAAAAAGGGATCATTGACATATTGTTCATGCCTGAAAAAGACATGCTTTCTTTTACACTAGGAGAATGGCGAGAGAGGAGTGACATCACATGATAAGTGCCAGCCAAAGATACTGTGGTTTTGCTGTAACTGTAATTTTCCTGCCTTGTGTGATAATGTACAATAAATGTGCCGACCTTCTATTCCAAGAGAACCTCAATAATCCCTACTGCTTTCTCTCTTATATTAGACATGGTGCCATTTTGAAAAGCAACATCGCATGTCACAAGTCTTACAGATGTCACATTTGCCTGCCAATCAATACTTTAAACCATGAACATATACAATAGGGTTGTTCTCTTGATCTCACTCTCTCTATTAAATATACACACAATGAATGGGCTCCAATGAGAGACTATTCTAATAATGCACATAATTTCACACCCTAAATTTAGATATTTGAGGACTTCAAGCAGTTTTAATGTTTTCACCATATAAATATGCTAATGAAATAGTCACAAGGCATGCTACAAACCGTGCTGTGTTCGTAATGCTCTCATTAATGCCCAGGTGGATATCTTGTAGTGTGAGGAAACAGGGATGACCTCCAAGAAGAGCAAATCCTAAAACAGACAGACTCCTTAGAATACTACCCAATTATTCCCATCAAGTCTTCCCAGACATCATTTAGATATAGTTGTGGGGATAGTCTGACTTAGTGAATTTTCATCCTGCCATATAGCAAACTTATGGGACAAATATTCAGTTGATGCTATCTTTCACAAATAATTTCAATCCTATAGAAGCCAACATCTAGTACTTCTTTTTTAAAGACAAAATCCATATCTATTTCTTTTCAACCCTAAAAGACACTGCTATCACATTTTCAACCTTTTCTGTATATGAATATCAAGACCACATCATCACAGTGCCTTTATATTATCTTTTGGTTCCCATTCTTATATAGCGACTCTTATAAGATACTCTCAAACTGTCCCAACTTGGCAAAGACGATTCCAATTAAATCTTTGGCTTTCAACTTTTTCAGCTGCTTTTAAAATGTCAGTTTTTCCCTCGTCCTCTCGCTTTCCCCCTTTATCCTCACCTAACTTCAATTGATGCAAACTGAGTTCAAAGTGTAAAAGCAGTTTCCAGTCAATTAACTCAGCAGAAGTGAAAGGGGAGGAAGTGGTGGCACATTGCTCCTTCCAGTAGTCTATAGCAAAAGCAAACTGCTTCAGCCTCTCTTAGCTTCTGCATTCTTCCTCATTAATAATTTTGCCATCTTGACTGAGTCTGATGTTACTGTGAACTGTTGGAAGGAATGCTATCATAGGATTTTCTTGGCAAGGGGAGTTTGCCATTGCCTTTCAGTTATGCTGAGAGAGTACGATTTCCTCAAGGTCATCCTGTGGGTTTCATGGCTGAGTGAGGATCTGAACCCTGGACTCCTAGCCCAACACTCAAACCAATATACCCTACTCGCTCTTCACACCAAATTACTACTGGATAAAAGTGGTCTTGTCTGGCAGGAACGTCTTCATATTGTTTGAAGTTGTTTCCAGCTTGTTGTTGTTGTTTATTCATTCAGTCGCTTCTGACTCTTCGTGACCTCATTGACCAGTGCATGCCAGAGCTCACTGTCGGCCATCACCACCCCCAGCTCCTTCAGAGTCAAGCCACTCACTTCAAGGATACCATTCATCTATCTTGCCCTTGGTCAGCCCCTCTTCCTTTTTTCCTTTCATTTTCCCCAGCATCATTGTCTTCACCAAGCTTTCCTGTCTTCTCATTATGTGGGCAAAGTACTTTATCTTTGCCTCTAATATTCTTCCCTCCAGTGAGCAGTTGGACATTTCCTGGACTATAGACTGGTTTGACCTTCTTGCAGTCGAAGAAGATAAAACTAGAATTTTCCTCCAACACCACAGTTCAAAAGTGTCTCTCTTCCTTCACTCAGCCTTCCTTATGTTCCAGCTCTCACATCCAGGTTACTACGGGGAATACCATTGCTTTAATTATATGGATTTTGGTTTCCAGTTTATAGCAACATAAAGGGAAAATTATCCCAGGTAAGATCTGTTCAAAGGGCATTTGCTTTTGTCTTCCCCAGAGGCTGAGACAATGCGTGACTTGCCAAAAGTCTCTCTTCCTTGCATGCAATTTAAAACAATTTAAAACAAAGAACTGTTTAATTCTTTCCAACAGATGGCAATACAGCCATTGCTTTTATGATGTTATGATGTGCATTGCTTTTATGATGTTATGTTTTATTGTGATATATTTTTATTTTGTTTTGATTGATGGTTTTAACTGTGTTCTTTGGGCTTGTCCCTTTGTAAACCGCCCTGAGTCCCCTTGCGGAGAAGGCGGTGGGTTAAAAAAATGTTGTAGTTGTTTTGAAAGTGTAAAGGCAGCAAGAGATAAATTTATTGCTATTCTGTTTAACAGCTGATACAGCTTCAGTGGCCCTGTGATAAACATTCTTAAATGTTTCTGATAATGCGGCTGCACAGGAAGTAAGAGGTGATTACTATATAAGCCAGTGCTTCAAAAGGCTTTCATGGTCCTTGAAAAACATAGTAAACTTTGTCCTTTCTTCTTTTCCTGTTTCCTGGCTGATCAGATACAATAAAGAATGGTGTTACTAAGTTCATACTAGAATCCTTCTGTGAAGCATAACACCAATAGTCATGATGGCTGGGATTATTGGAATTCGATATAATTCCTGGGCTCTAAATCAGAACAAAGTGAACCCCTATGAATCTCTGTACCACACTCAATTGAGTAATACTGCTCACTTTGAATGTACATTGCATACAGTGATGACTAAGCAGTAGGCATGTGCCATCAATAATAAAATGTTTCAAAAGTCATTACAAAATAAGGGGACACTGGCATTTCAGTTCTAAAGTATAGTTATTAAAACTTTCATTACTATAATGAGACTAACAAAATTTTATTACTTTTTCATTATAGTAACTGTGCAAGTGGGGAAATTTTAAGGGTCAGGAATGTTCAAATCCACAACTCCCAAATATTTCATTCAAAAAGCCATAGATTCATAGAATAATAGTTGGGACATCTTCCAACTCATTGCCATGCAGGAAACAATCAAAACACCCCTGACAGAAGGCCATCCAGCCTCTGTTTAAAAGTTTCTAAGGAAGAAGCTTCCACCACACTCGGAGACAGAGAGTTCTATTGTTGAACAGCTCACACAGTCAGGAGGTTCTTCCTAATGTTCAGGTGGAGACTCCTTTCCTGTAATTTGAACCCATTGCTCTGAGTCCTAGTTTCAAGGGCAGCAGAGACAAGCCTGCTCCCTCTTCTTATGACACCCTTTCACATATTTATACATGGCTATCATGTCTCCTCTCAACCTTCTCCTCTGCAGCCTAAACATATCCAGCTCTTTAAGATACTCCTCATAGGGCATGGTCTCCAGACTTCTGATCATTTTGTTGTCCTGCTCTGGACACCTTCCAGCTTATCAATATCTCTTTTGCACTGTGGTGCCCAGAATTGGACAGAGGATACCAGGTGAGCTCTAACCAAAGCAGGATACAAAAGCACCATGACTACCTTCGATCTAGAGACTAAACTCCTTTTGGTGCAGCCCAAAATCCCATCGGCTCTTTTAGCTGTCGCATCACACTGTTGGCTCATGTTCAATTTGTTGTACGCAAGGCTGCCAAGATCTTTCTCACATGAACTGTTGTCCATTTAATTAACCACACTCTTAGGAACATTTTAAGCACAGCCTCACAATTGGAAGGAACTCTGTCCAGTCCTACCCCATGCCATGCAGGAAAGAACAATCAAAGCATTCCTGACAGATGGCCATCCAGCCTCTGCTTTCATTCAAAGTCTTCTCATTTTTTTCCCTTTAAAAACCAGACTTTAAGATTTCTGGGTTTCAAAACTCATTTTACTTAATAATACATTAGACTAACCTAGGTTAACTGAATAGTCGGCAAGCTTCAGATTTACTCATATCATTGATTTATTGACAGAACATTTCACCCTTTAAAAAACACCCTTTAAAATTAGATACACTACAAAGTTACCAAATATTTGTTATCATTTTCTCCTCTCTGATTAAGCTATTCAACAAACAACAAAAGCTGGGGGATACATATGCATACAGTAACTATATCAATTTATATATAATATGAATCTTACTTTCTAGCGAACATGTAATGTGGATTCAAGTCAAAGCAGGCCCGTAGCCAGGATTTAGATTCGGGGGGGGGGGGGGGGGGGGGGGGGAGGTGATTCTGGTTGAAAGAGGGTCTACCCTATCAAACTTTTTTATTGTTATCCCAATACCCCCATGCATATGGAATACATTGAGTATGGTGATCAAATCATGATATGAATAAACATAACAGTTTAAATAATGCACCAGTAAGGCCTTTTCGCGAACCACCATGAGAATTGGGGGGGGGGGGGGGGCTGAAGCCCTAAGCCCCCCCCCCCCCCCGCTACATGCCTGAGTCAAAGATAAACATTTCAAATTTTAATGCTTTTAACTTTGGGTGGGTCAAACCCATTCATTCCTGCCACTCAATCAACCACAAATACTCCTAGGAATATTTTAAGCACAGCTCCACTAATCTTGCTGACACCTTTATTTTTAATATCACTCTCTTTTCTTCTTTTTCCTTTAAGAGGAATGAATAAACTTATGCAGGAAGAATTTAACTGGTTATATATGGGTTGATTATATTTGAAATTTTCACACACAAAACATGCTACCTATTTGAGGGCTATATAATTATGCCTGTAAAAAACTGTTTGTCCAAAGCTTAAGTATGCAACAGAAGTAACTTGGTACAGTTGATGTAGTTTCAGTAGTCAAAACATCACACTATATTATTAATCTTATGGCACTTTATTATATGGCATGAGCCTTCACTTCAACAATAGGAAAAAAAATTCATCTAGGATCCACAGATGGACATTGTGCAAGTGCTGATAAAAAATCAGGACAGTAAAAGGAAAAAAGAAATAAGATCAAAATGTTTTATGCCATGCAAAATAGAATTAAAATTTACTCCTGAGATAAGTACGATACAGTTCATAATGGCAGATGTATTCACTGTCATGACTTTTAAACTTGTAGTCACCTGTCTCTGTAGATATTCTAGTCCTTGTGCTTCTTTTTTCAAAAATCATTGCTAAGGATTTTCCTTGCAGCAAAGGCAAATGCTGAAAAACAAGAAGAAAAGCAAATACAATATAGAACAATGGTTTGCAATGTGAACATTATGAATCTATTCAAAATAAGAATGACCTTTAAAAATACTCTGAGATTCTTCAAACTTAGAGGGTTCAACTTCTTCATGGAATACTCTGGAAGAAACTGGAGCCTCTCTATTTATTTTTATTGGATGGGATGGCAGCATTTAGGTTACAAATAATAACTTCTTCCAAGGGCATGTATTAGCAAAAATAATACATAGTTATTACATCTCTTGGGGACCTTGTTCACCCTTTAGTCATTGCTGCCAATTTGGGGGGGGGGGGATCTCTGAAAGCAAAGTTCAATTTGTTGTTGGGTTGTTGTAGGTTTTTCGGGCTATATGGCCATGTTCTAGAAGCATCCTCCCCCGACATTTCCTCTGCATCTATGGCAGGCATCCTCAGAGGTTATGGGGTCTGTTGGAAACTAGGAAAATTGGGTTTATATAACTGTGGAAAGTCCAGGGTGGGAGAAAGAACTCTTGTCTGTTAGAGCTAGGTGTGAATGTTTCAATTGGCCATCTTGATTAGCATTTCATGGCCTGACAGTTTTTAGATGTGGCTTGTTAGTGCCCGGGGGCACCTTTTGTTGAAAGGTAATTCGCTGTCCCTCATTGTTTCCTGTCTGGAATTCCCCTGTGTTTGAGCGTTGTTTTGCTGTTATAATTTTAGATGATTATTTTTTGTACGTCAATCAAAAGGATTTATTTGAAAAGTCAGGATTAAATCCAGTACCTTATTGGTTGAATGTCTGGATCATCAAAGTAAAGTCTACAGGCCAGATGCGGCCCTCCAAGGTCATTTACTTGCTCCCCGTCCTAAACTTTAGATTTAGAGTTGCCTTAAGTCTGAAACAGTTTGAAGACACACAAACAACTACCCTAATTAACTTGACTTTCTTATCAGCCAAGAGAAGGCCCACACTTCCCACTGAAATATTGGTAAGTTTTATATTGGTTAAAATTGTACTTCATTTTAAACGTATTCTTTTTTTCATTTTTTTTTGCACTACAAATAAGGTATGTGCAGTCTGCATAGCAATTTATTCCTGTTTTTTTTTCCTCCAAACTATAGTCCAGCTCCCCCAGCAGTCTCATGGCCCATAAACCAGCCCTCAGCTTAAAAATTTTGGGGGATCCCTGGTCTGGACTTTCCTTCCTTCTTGTAACACAGAAAATTGACTTCTTGAAAATTCCAAGCATTTTTCACCCTGACCCACACTGGGAAATTAGGGGGGAAATGCCAGGGAGTTCCAGTTCCCTTGCATCCCACTGTTTCACCAGATTAATCTCTCTAACTTTTTAGACTTGTTCAATTCTAAAATAATAATTTGTCAATTTCACCACACCTCCTGAAAACAAGCCAGTCTCTAATTTTCTCCCTCCTTTTGCAACTGCTCTGCTTGTTGGATCCCATGTAATGTATCTCTCTTCTCCTATGTACAAAGAGTTGTGCTTGTTTGTTGGAAGCCTGTACTATGCACACATTGCCCCAAAAGCAAAGCACACATTCAACCATTCATTTCATTTGCTTCTCTAGCTTCCTGAATTCAGTAGAATCTATAATGGCATATAGTTATATTCAGTAAAGTTAGATACAAAGGGTGTGTTTTAAAGTAAAGCTGTGAACTTGTAAAACAAATCAATGACTGTAGTATATGTTTACCTCCTGTTTTGGTATCCTGCCAGGTAACCATTTGCTACTTTAGAATAATATAAACTCTAAAGAATTCAAGTGATGTATCTCTATCTCTTCATTTTACCCAACACGCAGTATTATGTGGCTTCTAAATATGTTCAATTTTCATTGAGCTGTTTGGACTTCTAAAAAAGTTCTTACATAAATTACAGGAAAGTAATACAGTGCAATTATATCTTAGTACATCAGACATTCATTCTCAAACACATGAAACCTAACCAACAGATTTTATAGATTTCTCTAATATCCAACAGCAAGTCAACAAATCCACCACTGAAATCACACAGGCCTTGTACATGAAAACATACCTCCTTTTTGTGTTTGATTCTCTCTTTCAAATCTGATGCCACCCAAAGCAAATATTTAATTTCCTCAGCTTTATAATTCTGTAACGTTAGAAGGTCACGGCCTTTCAGCTGAATGGGAGATTCTGTAGGTTGCCCGTGCCTGGAACTCAAAGGGAAAATTTTAAAAGCCTTAATTAAGAATTTTGTCTTTAAAAATCATCAAATTTAAATAGTTACACCATTGTAGGGTAATTGGGGTTACTGGAAATGGGTGCAATACTGATTGGAAGATGGGAGCAAAGGGTGAGGAGTGTATTAGGGAAGGGGAACAAAACTCTTGTGACCAAAGTTCTTCTCTGTGCCCTTCACATTGCCCCCATCAACACTGCCATATGAGACAGTTTCTGAATCTGGATTACCTGCTTTGATCTGAGTTATATGGCAGTGTAGATTAATATAATCCAGTTCAAAGCAGATAATCTGGATCTAGAAACTTGATCATATGACAGTGTAGCTCCAGCCTGAGTAGCTTGTCCTTAGGTAAGTGGTGGTCAAATTATACTGTGCTGCTGCTTTTGTTGATGTCAAATTCATCTGCTAGTTTACTTGGCTTATATATATATATGTCAGGAGTGACTTGAGAAACTTTAGATGAAACTGGTCTTGAGCAAACTCCAAAATGGGATGCTAAGGTAGGATGTAGCAGCTGGTGAGCAGAATGGTGAAAAAGGAGACATCGAGAATTGCCAGAAAAAGCAGTTAGAGGACTGGATCTGGGGTTAAAGTTAAGAGGTTTCATCAAACTTTGGAATGAATGCAATTTGGTTCTACTTTAACTGCCATGGCTTAATGCTATGGAATCCTAGGAACTGTAGTTTTACAAGGTACTCAGTCTTCTCTGTCAGAGCTGAGGAATGGCAATTAAAGTGATGTCAAACTGCATTAAGTCTACAGTGTAGGCACCCCTTATGTGTAAAATCTCTTGCTTTGAACACTTCTGCATAAAAAGAAAACACACAAAGGGAGATACAGGGAGCCATACCATAAATAATTCCATACTCATTAAAAACACAATATGTTATTTGTTCTCCGTTCATTCTTTAGTAAGATTTATTACAGTCTTTTGCTAATGAGATCCATGTTTCAAATATGTCAAACAAGAAACAAAATTTCACAGCAAGACAGCGATACTTAATTGGTTGATTCAAAGATATAATGTTTCCTTTATTTATCATTTCTTTTACTTACGTCTTGCTATTATCAGTGCACTTCACAATACATTTAAACAGGTACAAATAAAAAAGGGACAAAGGTTATAAGGCTAAAATATCATTCAACATATGATAGTATGAAAACAATATTTTGTGTTTTAAATGCACCTTTATGTTGATGATACCAGTCTATTGAAAGCTCCTTTTAATGACCAATCTACAGAATGTTGTGAAACAGAAACAGTAAAATCCCCAAAAGCAGGGATGTCTACAGTGCTGAATCCAACAATTAATAGAATAATTAATTAACTGTACTAACAAAATTAGTTTTTATGAACACACACACCGTTTGTATCTGAAATATCAACATATTTTAATAACATCATTCAGAAAGATGTGTCATTTTGGTAGCCTTCCAACATTTAGATAACCCCATCTTTGCTGCCACATTAAAACCTATATTGGATTTTATCAAAACAATTGATAGGCAGTGTAGACCAGGCATGAGCAAACTTGAGCCCTGTTTTGGACTTCAACTCCCACAAATTCCTAACAGCTGGTAGGCTGTTAGGAATTATGGGAGTTCAAGTCCAAAACACCTGGAGGGCCCAAGTTTGCCCATGACTGGTGTAGACTCATATAAGGCAGTTTAACTGCATTGAACTGCATTATATGAACCTACAGTGACCATATAATGCACTTTCAAACTGCATTATATGACAGTGCAGATGAAGCCAAACTCAGAACCACTTCTAAATAATTGAATTCCATTTCAAATAAAAAATGTCAATACAACATTATTTCCAGTGCATAAACTTGTCAGATGACATGTGCAAATATTAAGGAAAGTACAGAGACAGCTCTGACATATTCATTTTCCTAAAGGTTTTTTTTATGGTTTCTGAATTAATGCTGCTAAGCAACCAAGAGAGACATCATTCACCCATTTCAGAAAGCTTGTCATGGCTGCAAAGCAATGGGACTTCCTGGCATATGACATCTAGCTCTGTTGTGACATATTTAAATCTAACACTTACCAAAGACATTGCACCAGATGTTTGCGGATCCTGTTTGCATGCCCCACATTGAACAGAGACCTAAAATTAACCAGCATATTTATTTAATACTAGTTTTTTCTTGTTGATTAAAAGTCTTCAGCTAAAGTCAGAGAAAGAGAGAATGCTGTGACATGCAGAGAAAGAGCAAAGGTACAATGATCATGAGACAGTGTTATCTCTAGCTGTTGTGAGAACTGCTCAGGCTGACTATGGCATGTTTTACCTTCTGCAAACACAACAGATAATTGCTATTACTACATGAGTTGGAGCCTCCAGACCAGGGGTCCTCAAACTTTTTAAACAGAGGGCCAGGTCACAGTCCCTCAAACAGTTGGAGGGCCGGATTATAATTTGAAAAAAAACTTGAATGAATTCCTATGCACACTGCACATATCTTATTTGTAGTGCAAGTACACTTAAAAACAATACAGTAATTAAAAAGGACGGACAATTTTAACAAATATAAACTTATTAGTATTTCATTGGGAAGTGTGGGCCTGCTTTTGGCTGATGAGATAGGATTGTTGTTGTTGTGTGCTTTTAAGTCGTTTCAGACTTAGGTTGACTGTGAGCAAAGACCAGGTAAATGACTTTGAAGGGCCATATCTGGCCCCCCGGGCCTTAGTTTGAGGACCCCTGCTCCAGACGATTAGGCATGAGAAGCTGTGCCAAAAACAGTAACATTTATGGCTCAACTATGTTACCAGCAATCTACCCTATTTGTGGTGGCAGAGAAGGGACATCTCACTCTTCAGTTTTGGAGAAGTATTAGACTTGCTAGGGATGTGAATGTGGATACACAAGTGCCTTCCTCATATTACAGGCTGCCTCTACACTGTAGAATGAATGCAGTTTAATACCATTTTAATTGTCATGGTTCTATACTATGGAATCATGGGAGTTGCAGTTTGATAAGGAGCCAGCATTCTTGGGCAGAGAAGGCTAAAGATCTTTTAAAACTACAATTCCAATGATTTGATAGCATTACGTGAAGGAATTAATTCTACAGTGTAGATGTACTGTAGATGGGAGAAATGCAGAAAATAGACCAATAAATAGGATGATAAAGATGGGACTATTAAGAGGTGATGTTGCAAATGGAAAGAGAAATGGCATAATTTGCCCGAGGCCCTATGGATACTGCCACTTTGAAACTATATTATATGATCAGTGTATTTATTTATTTTATTTATTTTATTTATGTCAGACATATTTTATTTATGTGAGAGACATATTTATGTCTTCCACCCCTAGAGGGAGACTCAGGGTGGCTTACAATCAGCAACCATTAGATTTTTAAATTTTTTTGTCGTGTCAGGAGTGACTCCTGGTGTGAGAGAATTGGCTGTCTGCAAGGACGTTGCCCAGGGGACACCTGGATGATTTGATGTTTTTACCATCCTTGTGGGAGGCTTCTCTCATGTCCCCGTATGAGAAGCTGGAGCTGATAGAGGGAGCTCATCCGCCTCTCCCCGGATTCGAACCTGCAACCTGTCGGTCTTCAGTCCTGCCGGCACAAGGGTTTAACCCACTGCGCCACCGGGGGCTCCAACCATTAGATGCCAACCACAATAATGAAAACACAGTTAAACATTAATTAAAACATCATCACAAGTTAAAAAGATCATTTAAAAGAGACAAATCCAAGTCCAAAGTCATAATTTGAAATCCATCCATTGTCAATCACATGATTCCTTTATAATTGTTACTGCTGCAACTGCTGCTCAAAAGCTTGGTCCCACAGCCATTATTTCAATTTCTTCCTGAAGGACAGGAGAGAGGGGGCTGACCTGATTTTGTTAGGGAGTGTGTTCTACAGATGGGAGGCCACTACTGAGAAGGCCCTGTCCTTCATCCCTGCCAGATGAACCTGTGAAGGTGGTGGGATCGAGAGCAGGGCCTCCCCTGTGCATCTTAACCTCTGAGGTGGATCATAGAGGGAGATATGTTCAGGCAAGTAAGCTGGGCCAGAACTGGTTAGGGCTTTATAGGCTAAAGCCATCACTTTGAATTGTGTTCGGTAGCAGACTGGCAGCCAATGGAGCTGACGTAACAAGGGGGTGGTATGCTCCCTGTAACCCTCTCTAGTTAGCAATCTGGCTGCCACCCGTTGGATTAAATTCACCTTCTGAAAGTCTTCAAAGGCAACTCCACACAGAGCAAATTCCAGTAATCTATTTGGGATGAAACAAGAGCGTGGACCACTATGGCCAAGTCAGACTTCCCAAGGTACAAGCACAGCTGGCACAAAAGTTTTAATTGTGCAAAATCTTCCCTGGCCACTGCCGAGAAATGGTGTTCCAGGCTCAGCAGTAAGTCCAGGATCACTCCCAAGCTGTGAACCTGCACCTTCAGGTGGAGTGTAATCCCATCCAACATAGGCTGTAACCCTATGCCCTGTTTGGCCTTTCAACTGACCAGGAGGACCTCTGTTTTGTCTGGATTCAATTTCAATTTGTTCAACCCCATCCAGTCTGACACAGCTGCCAAGCACTGGTTCAAGGTCTGAACAGCCTCCTTAGTGACACGTGGGAAGGAGTGACAGAGTTGGACATCATCTGCATACAGGTGACATCATATTCCAAAACTCTGGATGATCTCTCCCAGCAGTTTCATGTAGATATTAAACAGCATGGGGAACAGTACTGAACCCTGCAGGACTCCACAAGACAAAGGTTGTGGAGCCAAGCAGGTGTCTCCCAATAACACCTTCTGAGACCGACCCTTCAGGAAGGACCGGAGCCACTGCAGAACAGTACCTCCGAGTCTCATACCCGCAAGGCATCCCAGAAGGATACCTTCGTCAATGGTATTAAAGGCTGCTGAAAGGTTTAGGACAACCAACTGGGACACACTCCTCCTGTCTAGTTCCCGGTGTAGATTATCTACTAAGGTGACCAAGGCTGTTTCAGTTCCATGTCCTGGCCTAAAGCAAGACTGTGCCAGATCTAGATAGTCAGTGTCTTACAAGAACCCCTGGAGTTGTGAGGCCACCGTACCTTCCATGGTTTTGCCCAAATAGGGGAGATTGGAAACTGGGCAATAGTTGATGAACTGAGTGGAGTCCAGTGATGGTTTCTTCAACAGAAGTTTCATGACAGCTTGTTTCAAGCTCGCTGGAATCTTGCCTTGCTGTAGGGAGGCATTAACCATCACCTTTACCCACGCTGCCAAACCTCTTCTAGCCTCTTTTACCAGCCAGAATGGGCAGGGGCCTAGGACACATTTGATTGCCCTCGCCTCTCCAAAGATCTTGTCCACATCCTCAAGCTGCACCAATCAAAATGGGACACACAGATATTCATGTTACATCCTCAGAAACTGCTGTAAACATGGTGTCGAAGTCAGAATGAATCAGAACGACTTTGTGCACAAAAAACTGAACAAATGCTTCACAGCAAGCTGCTGAGCTGTCAGGGATTCCAGTGTGTGGGATGGGATTTAACACCCCTCTGACTATTCAAACAGCTTTGCCAAATGGTTTTTTGCAGACACAAAATTGGCTGCAAAGAAAGATTTCTGTGCAGCTTCTATTGCCGCAGCATATGTCCTTAGATAGGTACACAGCCGTGTTCAGACTGATTCATCACACTTCAAATGCCACACACGCTTTAGCCCCCTCTTATTTCGCTTCATTGCTGCCAGCTCCTTGTTGAACCAAGGAGCTGAATTAACTTGGTTACTTGAGAGGGGACGTTCCGGAGCAATTGTACATTATAGGAGTCTACACTGACCATGTAATACAGTTCCAAATTGCATTATATGGCAGTATATAAATGGGATCCTCGGCTGAGTTCTTGGCTACTCAAACTAGTGATTGGCTAGCACAAAACCCCTAAAAATTGTTTTGCCAGGGAGGAGCAAGCACGTTGTTTATGCAGAGCCACCCAATCCTTGGCATAGGACTGCATGCAAATAAGCCCTTATATTGCAACAAAACAGAGCCAGAGCCTTTTAAATCCCATCCACAGTCAGGAAGGGCAACTTATCCCTCCCAAGGCGAGTGCACCTCCCGAAAGTAGCCATCAGGGCTTCCTGGGGGCTGCGACGTCTTTAGAGCAGGGCGCAGGCACGAACCAGCCACTAGGCGGCGATGCTCAGTAGATGTAATAGAGAATAGGCTCCGCTCACTGCTTTCCTGGCCATAGAGGCATTTCCTTTCGATCTCGCTGGCAACAAAGAATTGCAGAAAAGTACAAATGCACCCACATTTCCGGTTCCAACTCGACTTTTCTATATTGAATATGACAATCACCAATGCAAGTTTAATTAATTGAACCAGTATTCACTAGTTGAGCTTCTAGGGTTTTTGGACTTCAACTCCCAGAATCCCTGACCATTGGCTGAGTCAGCCGAGACTTCTGGGGGTTGAAGTCCAAAAGCCTAGAGTGTGGCAATCACTGGATCAATGCTTCCCTGATTTAGCTTCTAGGCCTTTTGGACTCCAACTCCCAGAATCCCTGACCATTGGTTGAGGCAGCTGAGGCTTCTGGGAGTTGAATTCCAAAAACCTAGAGTGTGGAAATCACTGGATCAATACTTCCCTGCTTGGACTTTTAGGACTTTTGGACTCCAACTCCCAGGATCCCTGACCATTGGCCGAAGCAGCTGATACTTCTGGGGGTTGAAGTCCAAAAGCCTAGAGTGTGGAAATCACTGGATCAATGCTTCCCTGATTTAGCTTCTAGGCCTTTTGGACTCCAGCTCCCAGAATCCCTGACCATTGATTGAGGCAGCTGAGGCTTCTGGGAGTTGAAGTCCAAAAGCCTAGAGGAGTAGAGTGTGGAAATCACTGGATCAATGCTTCCCTGCGTGGACTTTTAGGACTTTTGGACTCCAACTCCCAGAATCCCTGACCATTGGCTGAGGCAGCTGAGATTTCTGTGGGTTGAAGTCCAAAAGCCTAGAGTGTGGAAATCACTGGATCAATGCTTCCCTGATTTAGCTTCTAGGCCTTTTGGACTCCAGCTCCCAGAATCCCTGACCATTGATTGAGGCAGCTGAGGCTTCTGGGAGTTGAAGTCCAAAAGCCTAGAGGAGTAGAGTGTGGAAATCACTGGATCAACGCTTCCCTGCTTGGACTTTTAGGACTTTTGGACTCAAACTCCCAGAATCTCTGACCATTGGCTGAGGCAGCTGAGACTTCTGGGATTTGAAGTCCAAAAGCCTAGAGGACTGACGTTTAGAAATCACTGGATCAATGCTTCCCTGTTTAGGTTTCTAGAGCTTTTGGACTTCAGCTCCCAGAATGCCTGACCATTGACCAAGGCAGCCGAGGCTTCTGGGAGTTGAAGTCCAAAGGCCTTAGAGGAGCGGTGAAGAAGAGAAGGTTACGCCCTGCCCCGGCTAGGCAGCCGCTCTCTATGGTCAGGGCCGCCTCCGTTGCTAGAGGCAGAGGATTTGTTTACTTCCGGCTGCGAGAGGCTCCTCCCCTTTCCCGCCTGCGTGCCATGGGGGAGGCCGAGGAGAAGGTGCCCGGTGAGTGAGCCCTGCCAGCCCCGGCTTCGAACTTTGGCGGCCTCGCGCCCCTTCTTGCCCTGACGTCACCCGTGGTTCTCCCGCGCGCGCCTTTCGGGGGGGATTCCCTCCCTGCGGAAGCCACGCAAGGCGCGTCTGCGCTGTGGAACTGATGCAGTGTGGCCTCGCTTGAGCTGCCAGGGCGCAGGGCTATGGGAACCGGGCTGTTTGTGCTTTGGTGAAGCACCAGCACGCTTTTGCAGAGAAGGCTAAAGACCCTGTAAAGCTAAAGCTCTCATTATTCCAGAACACTGAGCCATAGTGGTTCAAGTGGTGGCAAACTGCATTAATTCTACAGTGTAGATGCATATTCATACGTTGTGAGATATCTTGGAAATGGGACCCAAGTCTAAACATGAAATTGAGTTATGTTTCTTCTATACATGCACAGCCAGCACATAATGTTAAACACAAATGTTGAATTTACCTGTCCGAACGCATCTCTTCTTATGAGCCTTCCAGGATTTTAAGATCCAGAGATTTCCACACTCTACTCCTCTAGGCTTTTGGACTTCAACTCCCAGCTGCCTCAACCAATGGTCAGGGATTCTGGGAGTTGGAGTCCAAAAGGCCTAGAATCTAAATCTGGGGAGGCCCTGCTCTCGGACCTGCCTTTGTCTTCAACTCCCAGAAGCCCCAGCTGCCTCAACCAATGGTCAGGGATTCTGGGAGTTGGAATCCAAAAGGCCTAGAATCTAAATCTGGGGAGGCCCTGCTCTCGGTCCCATCTTCGTCACAAGTATGGCTGGCGGGGACGAGAGACAGAGCCTTCTCAGTGGTGGCCCCTCTGTTACAGAACGCCTTCCCTAAGGATGTCAGATCAGCCCCCTTGTTTTAACGTTTCAGAAGAAAGTGAAGACTTTGCTTTTTGAGCAGGTATTTGCAGATACAGTGTAACAGATATAGGAAAATGGAATGTTTGGATGATGTGATTGGACAATGTTTTTAACAAGGAGACCCTAATGATACATGTTTTTATTGATTTGCTATGGTTTTATTATCCAGTTGTTTTTATTGTATTGAAATTGTATTTTATGGTCTTGGTACCAACTGTAAACCGCCCCGAGTTGCCTGCGGGCTGAGAGGGATGGTATAAATATAGTAAATAAATAAACAACTTTGTACATGAAACACATTTTGTGTACATTTAAAATTTCAAATATAACGGCACTCCATGCAGTCATACCGGCCATATGGCCATGGAGATGTCAACGGACAACGGACATTATTTAAACTGTTATGTTTATTCATATCATGATCTGATAACCATACTCAATATATCCCATGTGCATGGGGATATTGGGGTAATGATACAAAAGGTTTGCTAGGCTAGACCCTCTTTCACTCAGACTCAGCCCCCCCCCCCGAAACTCAGCCCCCCCGACTCCCCCCCCTGAAAAATTCAGCCCCCCCCCCCCCGAAACGAAATCCTGGCTACGGGCCTGGCACCAACCCCAGAGTTGGGCACAATTAGACTTAATGTCACGGGAAAACCTTTACCTTTACCTTGAAATATCAGATCGCAAAGTTTCCACTATTGCAACCACATCTACGGACAGTTTTGGAGCTTTTCATATTTCAAAATAAAGGATGCCGAAATCAAAATTCAGGCTTTGACAGCTTTATTTTCTAGTGGTTCAGTGTATACAAGACCTTGGAAAACTACAACTCCTGAGATTACATAGCATTGAGCCATGGAAGTTTAAGTGGTGTCAAACTGCATTCATTCCACATTGTAGATGTACCCTAAGAAATAATGTTTGTGTCTATTAGCGGAACCTGGGGCAGAGGCATCATATGTTAGTAAGCAACAAATGGTGGAATTACTGTATGAAATTCAATCCAATCTAATATTTCAGTTCTTTCTTTTTAGAATCAGGTGCTGTATTCACGTTTGGAAAATGCAAATTTGCAGAAAACGTGCCTAGCAAGTTCTGGTTTAAAAACGACAAGCCTTTGCACATATCCTGTGGAGATGAACACACTTCTGTTGTCACAGGTTTGTGTTAAGAGAGCTAGGACCATATTTCCCAATATTTATATTTCTAATGCTGCATTTTATTACTCTTTATAAGCATTATAGGAAGATGTGTTCCAAAAATTAGGGGAAATTGACCTGCGGGTGTTCCCAATCGTTTATAGTTCATTGTTGGGTATATATCCATTATCTGGCTGAAACTTGTTTTTAAGTAAAGTTGCAAAACATTTACAATTTAATTTTGAAAAATATCTTAGGAGTTGCTTAATGGTTGTGTGACACAGTATTGTGGCACTTGATAGACTAACAAAATGACAATAACAGAAGTCGTTATGGACTACAATCCACTTCCTGATTTAGGCCCCTTGCACACAGCTGAAAAAAATCCCACCTTTTCTGCTTTGAACTGGAATATATGGCAGTGTGGACTCAGATAACCCAGTTCAAAGCAGATATCGTGGTTTTTCTGCCTTGGTATTCTGGGTTATATGACTCTGTGGAAGGGCCCTTAGTCATGACTGGCTACAATTCTGTATATGCAGGCTTGCCTGTAGTCAAGTTCTACTGAATTTTTGGAATTTCTTTTGCATAGAGCATATACCCTACACTGCAGCTTTGTTAGTTTTTAAAAGTTCAACAAGAGTCTTAGGCCCCTCCCACACAGCTGAATAAAATACCACATTTTCTGCTTTGAACTGGAATATATGGCAGTATGGACTCAGATAATCCAGTTCAAAACGGATATTGTGGATTATCTGCCTTGATATTCCAAGTTATATGGCTGTGTGGAAGGGCCCTTAATTAGTTCCCTTTGGAATTAATTGGAAGCCATCATTTTTTTAAATAGCATTGAAATATCTAAGCAATTTGGATCACATAAATATTAGTATTAAGTAACATCCAAACTCCCCAGAGAGATATAGAGAGAGGGATAAATATTTTATTTTAAAAGACTTGTCACTGCATTATAATGAAATATAGTGAGATAACTTTCAAAATGATTTAATGATCAACTATTTAGCCACTCCTATGGCTGGCTAGAATTCTATTATTATGTTTCTGGTTCTATCTTATTAGCTCCTTCAGTATATGATTTCTGCATAATACTTTTGTTTTGATGTATGGCAAAAGGCCAGTTGAAGTGATGTCAGATATTGAAATAGCCGATTACATTCTTTGATGTCTATGTTCTGTAGAAAATGGTAAGCTTTATATGTTCGGAAGCAACAACTGGGGACAACTAGGATTTGGGACTAAGAATTCCGTCAACAAGCCAACTTGTGTGAAAGGTTTGTTTTAATTTTTTTGAATTTATAATAGATGTCTGAAACAGCTCTTTATTGTCACTTTCAATATCTAGAAAACGCAATGTCTGGTTATATGTCTCAGTATGTTAAAACATGCCATTGCGGAACACATTGTTTCTAGTATTTTCAAATGTTTTTATTTTCTATGGTTCTCCTTTCCTTTGGAAATGTCTTTTCTTTTTTTGTTCATCCTGGATACAGTGGCAAATGTGAATTTGGATTACTTTCTAGTGATGAAGGCAGAAGCAAAAGGCATCAGCTCCATTTTCAGAAATAATGACTGAATGAATATGCTTGCCACTGCAGAAAGGCTCAGTGTATGAGTCTACACTACCATATAATCCAATTTAAAGCAGATAATCAGGATTTTTATACAGCCGATTTTGTATGACAGCAATATAACTGATTATATGGCAGTGAACCGGATTATATGGCAGTGTAGACTAAGGTCATCCAGTTCTAAGCAAATAATGTGGATTATCTGCTTTGATAACCTGGATTGTCTGGCAGTGTAGAAGGGGCCTAAAAGGATCTATTTTCAAAATAAAATTGTGGCCTTACTGGTCTTTTCCACAATGCAAGACTGGATCTACACTGCTATATAATGCAGTTCCAAACTGCATTATATTGTAATTGTAGACTCCTATAATATAAGTTACAAACTGCATTATAAGGCAGTGTAGATCCTCGTTGTAATGAGGAGATGCAGTTTAACATTGCTGCAGTATCTCATCACTGATATCTTTGCCTTGATTGCTCAATAATACTTTTAAAGCTCGCACCCTGAGCTCATTCAGTAGATTTAACTTCTAAGATAGTAATTATTGTATCTTTAATCCATAGCTTTAAAACCAGAAAAAGTAAAACTAGCTGCTTGTGGAAGAAATCACACTTTGATTTGTACAGGTATGTAATTTATGTTGTCTATATACAAAATACGTTTCTTGCACTTATAATAATAATAACTTCATTTTTGTATGCAACCTCCATCTCCTCAAAGGAATGCGGGGAGGCTTATGTATGACACAAAGTGCCTAAAAAATAAACACACAGTACAATACAAGAAAGTAAAACCAATATCACATAAAAACAATAATTTAAAACTCAGAACAATGCCCAATAACTTATGGCGACAACTGCCGTAAGGCATGGCCAAACTGTAAACAAGACAAGGGAATGGGATAGTGCAAACTGTAACTAAGGAACAAGGGCATGGAATGAAAGTGCAATGCTATGTCTTTAATTGCTGACCATTGGGACTAGACATTCTCAAAGGCTTGTTTAAACACACAAGTCTTCAAATCCCTACAGAAGGAGGACAGTGTGGGGTCCTACCTAATCTCCCTCGAGAGGGCCTTCCAAAGCCAGGGGGCCACCAACGAGAAGGCCTTCTCCCTCGTCCCCACCAACTGTTCTTGTGACAGTGTGGGACCACGAGTTGAGCCTCCCTGGCAGATCTTAACGCTCATGCAGGTACATAGGGCGGGGGAGGGGTGGTGGTGGATGCGGTCACTTACGTTCTGAGGAAGAGTTTGGTCCTTGAATTCAAAGATAGAGCTGTGCTCCTTAATATCAGTATACAAAGGGATCGTGTAAGATGTTTGAGACTAATTGGGATCAAGAGGTTGGTGGCATATGCTTTGATAGATTGATTCTGCTTCCTGAGATGCCTTCATATGGTCCTTGTCACAGATGCATAAATATAAGTTTCTGCCATATACTAAGTTGCAAATGATACTTCTTTATGATGCAAAATGCTTACTTTGACTGAGGCACAGCTCGCAAAGCAGCTTTCTTGACATTAGGGAGGGAGCCTGTTGGGTGAATGCACTTAGGCCTTGCCAGTTTCCATTTCAGAGCAGCCCCCTTTGACGGTTTCCTGTAAGACAGAGATAATCATTTCTAGAAACTTATATGGCATTTGGAAGGCCACAAGATGGCCACTTCTGCTTCTCAAATAATTGCCAAGGACATATATAGACATCATGCTGACTACCTAGGTGAGAAGGTTTTCAAGAGACAGTGTTGGGGTCAGAATGGCCTTTCCCCACTTTACAAAGTAAAGTATATGTGCATTAACCATAGTCAATGGAGACAGATGATGGGAGTTATCTTTCAAGAACATCTAGAACCTTCAAGTTGACTGGCTTTGTGATAATGATGTAGGTGAAGTAGAACAGCTTTCCCCATCAAAAACACTTTTTGTGTGTGATAGCCATATGTAGGGTTGGCAGGGAACTTCTTTGATATCATACTTCTGTAATGAGACAGATAGGTTTTTATATATTAATGTAGGAGAACACCATTCAGGGTTGGCATAATCTTCTCTATATGCTTGCACACCTTACTACTATCGCTAATTTAGAATACCCCAGTCAGCATGGCCATAAACTGGAAGCTGTAGTTCAAAAAGGAGCTTTCCAAGCTTTGCCTTTTTTCCCCTCAAGCCTCTTTTGAATGCATGGTGCAGAATTGATGGTGTAACAAACTATATGAAATGAAATGACAATTTGAAAGATTAATCGCCTCAAGCAGTTAATTATATAGCAGTGTGAGTCATGTTCTTTGGATTTATTTTTCTTGAGCAGTGAAGTGCTTTTCAGTATGACAGGCTGTATTTTTCTTTCTGCCAAGTGAAATAGGCCAATTGGTTGAGAAAGAAAAAGAAAAATAAGTGGGAGGAAGTGACACCTCTAGCCCTGCCCACTGAACCAGATGCGGTATTGATCTGAATGGTGAGAAGGGAGTTCATCAATGCCCTCCCTCTCTCACCCACTGGTTGCTTTTAGAGTGAACTGGGCAGAGAACTGGGACATGTCCCTTTGTATTAAGTAGTCCCTGAAATTGTCAATCATCCCAGTGAGACAAATAATTCCTTGTTAATTCCCTAAATCAAATTTTAAAAGATTTTTATCCACTTCCACTTACCTCATCTCTCTGACATGGCTCCTCATTAGAGTGGGTTGCAAAGTATTCGAAACACAACACTATCGGGAACATTCACAAGTTCCCCCTCCATCATAAAAAAGCTAATGCTGGGAGATGTGCACACACATGCACATGTATTTGTGTATCGATGTCAATGTTTCACTTTCCAAATAAACGGTAACCTATTTTCTCTCTCCACCAACATGTTAGAAAGGCAGAAAAAAATATTGGAAAATATTTTTTCTCCTAATTGCCGGAGGCACTATTTTTACTGGAGGGAAGGAAATTGTTATCAGGGTAAACTGTCTGCCCCATTCACCTCTCTTTATGATCGTCTGGGTATTCCCACATTCCCAAATGCAAACTCTAAGCTTGTTGAGAGGGAAAGGGCTGCCTTTCTTCATCTTTCCCCCACCAACAGCATTTTTGTGGGGAATATGGAAACTGTATTGTCTCTCCTTTTTTTCTATCTCAAGGCATGTGTCCCATAATGGATGTCAATGTGACCCTTCAATCCACTCAGTAACGTTTTATTGTTGGCACTCAGTGCAACACAAACTGAAAGTGTGTGAGAGAAGGAGAAAGGATATGGACAATGCATGTGTACATTTACATAGTAGATCTATGCACCTCTTAAGGGTTTGCTTCCCTCCTTCCTTCCCTCTCTCACCCCTTTTCCTTGTTTCAAGCTATTATTTATGCTCATAAGAATTTTCAACTGGATTCCAGCAAAGGTTATTTTTATTTTGTGTAGGACTGAAACCATAAATCATTTCTACCTTTAAATATTGATTTCCAGCCTTGACTTAAAACTGTTTCTACTATTTTATGCATTTGCAAACCAGAATTCCTCTTTGTAGGAAAGGTTCTACATATACTGATTTGTTTGTAGGGTATTTTGAAGATAAAACCGATTGCATGAAGCGTGACTTTAACTCCACTGTTGTAGCAGATCACTTTTCAGGGGTGTTTGGAGCACCAACAATTTTTTTTGGATGACTTTAAGTTACTGGGGTGTCGCGTGGTTTCTTTAAGTTAGTATCTATTGAGATTGTGAGAAAATAGTATGACAAAACCTAGTAAAATTGAATAGGAATGGCTGTGTGGTCATGCACGTGACTACTGCCTCCTTGTTCAAAGAAGCCATCCTGGGCCACCTGAAGGAAGCAGGCATATGACCTCTTCAATCCTTGATGGACCAAGAATAATAAAATCATAAATCATCGAATCATAGAGCTGGAAAAGTCCTTGTGGGCCATCCAGTCCAACCCAAATCGCATTCAAACCACCCCCAACAGAAGGCCATCCAGCCTCTGCTTAAAAGCCTCCAAAGAAGAAGTCTCCACCACACTCCAGGGCAGAGAATTCAACTGCTGAACAGCTCTCACAGTCAGAAATGTTCGGGTGGAATCTCCTTTACTGTAGTTTGAAGCCATTGTTCCGTGTCCTAGTATTCAGGGCATCAGAAAACAAGCTTTCTCCCTCCTCCCTATGACTTCCCCTCACATATTTATACATGGCCACCATGTCAGCCTTCTCTTCTTTAAGCTAAACATGCCCAGCTCTTTAAGCTGCTTCTCATAAGGCTTGTTCTCCAGACCCTTGATCATTTTAGTCACCCTCCTTTGGACACATTCCAGCTTGTCAACATCTCTCTTCAATTGTGATGCCCAGAATTGGACACAGTATTCCGGATGTGGCTTGACCAATGCAGAATAGAGGAATAGCATGACTTCGCTGGATCTAGACACAATACTCCTATTTATGCAGGCCAAAATCCCATTGATGATCTGAGCATCCAGCCATAAACACCCTACTCAAGTTTTGATTTGCTAGTGTGTTTTTGAACTCTTTTCCAAGTGCTGAATTTGATCTACAAAACCTTGTGTAACTTGAGATCTCAATTGCTCTTCTCTTACGTGCCCAGACCCTGTAATTAGCTCTGTAGTTCCACCAAGAGATGCTCAAAGTTTGGTGACAAAATATGGACCTTTTCTATAGTAGCCTCCTGGTTTCCAAATTCTCTCCCCAAGGACTATGTGTCAAATGTGTCCTCTATTAAGTGACCTGCAAAAAAATGATGTTTCTCTGGCCTTGATATCAGATGATTTGTTGTTTGCTTCTATGTTAGATGATGTACAGAATCAGTAGCTGAAAGATAGATTGTTTGCTGCTCTTTAACTGATAATATCATAAATTCCTACAATTTAGGCCTAGACTAAAATGTCTCAACAGCCAGAATGAAGATGAATCTTAGAGGAACTGTGAGGTAGTTTGATGAGTAGGATTTTGTTGTTGCTGCCGTAACAAATGAGAGTGTGCTTACTCTATGTGTGCTTTTCTGTATGCAGAACAAGGAAATGTATATGCTGCTGGAGGTAACAGTGAAGGGCAGTTGGGATTAGGTGACACAGAGGAACGAAGCACATTTCATCTAATTAGTTTTTTTACCAACCAGCACAAGATCAAACAGCTGGCAGCTGGATCCTACACCTCAGCAGTGCTAACTGGTGAGCCCAACATCTAATATGAATCTTATGGAAAAGGAAGAGATTTAATTAATGACTTTGATGCCTCTGTTTAGTAGTAATTGAATCAAACTTATTTGGCTTTTTTTCTAATGAAACCCTGAATATGTATTAAGAGTATAGTCATAATTGACATTCATGACAAAAAGTTAATTAAATAGAATCTTCAAGGATTTAAACAGAATTAATCACTAAGATTGAGTCATTTGAAGAAGCAATTATAATGATTTAAATCAATTTGCTTTAAGTCAAATCAATCTTGTCTTGGGATATGTAGTTCAGTATAGTATATTAGGGCTTTTTTTGGTAGAGAATAATATTTCTATGTATAATATATATCCTATGTATAGTCATTTTGTATATAATATGGCCCTGGTGTTCTGCTGTGTGCCTTTTGTAAGAAGTACTTGCATATGGAAGGATATCACAGTTAGCAACCAGTTCCCAAGTCTAACCCACTGGCTATGATTACACACAGAACTGAGACATTTGTGGTATTTTCTTAACTATAGTTCTCCCCTTTCTTTCTTTTGGAAAAAAAAATCTTCCAAAGTGCCAGAACTCCTGCCAACATAATTAGTAGACTTTCTAGCTGGAGGAGTCTGGAAATCATAGTTCAAAAATAAATACTCTGTGTTCTGTTTATTACATGTTGTTTTAAAAACTTTCCTATTTCAATCTATTCTGGGTTATAAATTCACATGATTTAATGCTGAGATTGTGTTTAAAAATCACCGTTGCTGTGTTTTGTATTATTTGTCTCTTTAAATCATATAACTTTCATCCATTTTCCTTTTATTAAGAGGATGGACAACTTCTTATGTGGGGAGACAATTCTGAAGGACAAATTGGCTTGAGTGATGAAGCGAATGTGTCTGTTCCTCATCAAGTGGACGTTGGAAAACCAGTCTCCTGGATCTCTTGTGGGTATTACCACTCTGCCTTAATAACACGTAAGTGTGGAAAACCACACATACACATAGATCTGCATGTTAAGTTTTAGAAACAGGTTCTAAAGCTAAGCTATCTCCATGTTGATGAATTCAGAATTTCTCTTAAAAGAAACGTTAATCCTCTTAGCATCACTGGTGAATTTGGTTACATATTATTCATGGTTGAGATTTCAGATTCTATTTTGCCATGCTGTATGTTACAAATGTGGTGATGTATCTGCCACTTGCAGTTTGGGAAGTTACAAGGAGGGTTGCATTGGAGAGCAAAATGGTAGATTATCTGCTCTTTCCAAATCTATTTTGCCCAAGGTAGAAAATGGTGGTAATTGAGGTACCTTTTTTTGCAAACACAAAAATTCCTCTTTCTGATGCAAGTGTGAGAAAGACAGTCTTTAATATCATCTTGTAGGCAGGCAAAGTTGGATGGTTTTTCCCAGTGAACATAGTTTTTTATTGAGCAGATGGCAATGTTTACTCCATCTCAAGACCACCATTCTTGTTCATGGTTCTGAACAGCTACCACAGTGATAGAGCTCTCCAAGAGTATACAAAATTTCAGCAGAGTATATGTCCTGTGCTAGAAAATAAAATGTTTGGTTTTAAAAAATATTTACACATAATCATGTGTTGGAAGGTAGCACTTGTTATGAAGAATTCAATCTAAAATGTTCCTGCTTTTCTCTCTTTGGCATCAATTACAACTTGACTGCTTTGTTTTCTGCAGGAGATGGGGAACTTTATACTTTTGGGGAGCCTGACAATGGGAAGCTAGGTTTGTCAGCAGGGCAACTACAAAACCACAAAGTTCCTCAACTCGTTTCTGGAATTTCTGGTAAAGTCAATAAAGTTGCATGTGGAGGAGGACATACAGTAGCACTTGCAGGTATACAAGTGAAGTTAATTTTTATTTGTTCAGTGTTTCTCGACTGGGCGGGTTCATGCATATATCTATTCCACCATAAAATCATGCTAATTTTGCACATATGGACATCCACAGAGTTCTTAGCAAATGTTATGTAGTGTCTCAATAAGAGAGGAGAACTTTTCAAAAGACATTGTAGAATGTTTGGTGTGGCTTGTGATGGAAGAACAAGAAGAGGGCCTTTTCAGTGGCTACTCCCAGACCTTGAAATTCCCTTGATAGAGAAATCCACAAGTAAACTCCACAAGCAAATCAAAATATGTTTCAAACATAACAAGATTAAGTTCCAAAGATTTTAATCAAAAGCATGGATGTAACTTGTCATCTAAAGTGTGTGTGTGTATTTACTAATGCAAGAACAAGATCAAGATGGCCGTGGTAAGGGGGCATATGAATTCTATAACTATCAATTACATATGTTCCCCAAGTTGTTACTCTGCTTTTTTGTTTGCTCCCAGACCCCTCAAAACACTTCCTAGGAAAAATAAATCCAACCAAAAGACAATGGTTGATGACTCCCAAACTTTGGTCTTCCATTTGCTTTGGACATCTGCTCCCAGAAACCCTAGCCAGCTTGTCCAATAGCCAGGAGTTTTAAGAGCTGAAGTCCAAAACAACTGAAGGACCAATGTTTAGGAACCACTGGTCTAGACAGTTCGTAAGTTGGTCCTGTAGAATAGAATAAACATATTAGTGCTGGAAGTGGAGAAACAAACAGAACTCTAAACAGATAGCAAGGTACTATGAACAACAGAATGTGCTGCGTTTAAATCACTTTCTCATACATTTATTAATAGTAGATAGTGAGAAAAAACAGTCAGTCAGGATGGAGTCAGAGTGCTTTGAGGATCAGTCTTAATGGGATTGTGTTTGAAGCTGAACACTCACAGAATCATTTACTGTGTAAATTTGCAGAGTACATAGTTCACTGGGAATAACTCCCATTGACACATTTAACTTCTTAGTATTTCTCTGTGAGTGGAGCCTGTGTGGCTTAGCGGTTTGGGTGTTGGATTGCCCCACTGGAGAACAGGATTCAAATATTTGCCTAGCCTCTGGGTGACTCTTGACTGCTGTTCTAAAGGGCTGGGCTTTAGCACAGAAAGTTAACTGCCCACTGCAATAAATCTTGCCAACTAAAAGGTTGACAGTTCAAAGCCTGGGTTAGGGCAAGCTCCTGGCCTTTAGCCCAGCTTCTGCCTACCTTGCAGTTTTGAAAACAGCAATATGAGTAGATAAATAGGCACCGCTTAAGTGGGGAGGTATTTAAGGCACCCATAAGGAAATGTCAGAAAAATGCTGGTTTATGAACAAAGTTCTTTGGCAGGGAAAAGTGAAGCAACAGCACCACACACCCCCATCCTACCTCCGTGACCGGAACCAAACACAATCTCCAAGATTCCGAAAATGGGAAAGCCTATATATACCTCTATCTATGTACAGTTGTTTGTCTTGTCAGTGTATAATGGCATTTAATGCTTGTCATATATGTGTTCTGTGATCTGCTCTGAGTCCCCTTCAGGGTGAGAAGGTGGAATATAAATACTGTAAATAAAATAAAATAATAGGTTCACCTTTTGGTTGCCATTTGTCAGAAATAACTTGAAGGCATACAGCAGCAGCAACAAATTGCACTGTGAGAAGGAATAGGCTTATGAAAGGTTTCAGTTGATTGTATTCCACAGAAGCATTTGCGTATCTTTATAGTGGAGGAAAAGGAGACTAGGACCTATATCGAGCTGTTTTTCCAAGCTAGCGCAGCATGAAGCAATGAGCACACTGTACAGTGTTCCCTCGCTAATTCGTGGTTCGCTTTTCACGGACTCACTGTTTCGTGGTTTTTTTAAAAAAAATTAAATTACTATATACAAGTAGCAAGGGAACACTGGAGGAGGAAGGAGGGGCGGATGGCTCCCCGCAGATCTGGGAGACCTCGCAAGGCCGGGCCGGCGATGGCAGTAGCGGCATAGGCTCAGCTTCATCGCCCATCAGGAGGGGAAGGGTGCTTGCTCTGCCCCCCCTCCCCCAAAACCCCCCCCATATGCCCTGTTCCGGTGTACCCACTGTTCCCTCATCATGATCCTGACATCAGTGGAGACAGTGGCCAATCCCAACTCAAGATCAGTGCAGCCACAGAGAATTCTCTGTCTTTCTTCTTTCTTCTCTTTTTTGCCCCGCTTCTCAACCGGGGGGGGGGGGGGGGGGGGGGGGGGAGAGACAGCCCCATGGAAGGAACAGCGGGCGTGCACTCCGAAGAGAGAGGCAGAGATCGATTGAGAGAGAGGGGCATCTTCCAGAGGGAGGGCAGATGGGGGGAAAGAACAGCGGCAAAAGCAGCACCCGACTCTTCTTACCCACTATAGAGGTAAGAAGCTCCTATAGAGGTAAGATGAGGGAAGAAGAGCCGCCCAAGGAAGGTGGGCCGTGAGAGAGAGGGGGGAGGGGAAGAAAGGAGTGGGTGGAGCTGAGGCAGTACATATACAGGATAGCATCCCTACTTCGCGGTTTATCACTTATCGCGTGTGGTCCTGTAACGTAATACCCGTGATAAGTGAAGGAACACTGTACTTGCTGCAGAGAAGAAGGGATTTGAATGTGAAACAAATTAAAGATCAGGAAAATTAATCAAGATGACATATAATTTACCTGTAGTTACTTTCTATCTGTAGCTTGGAGATAGTTTTTAGATTCTTCATAGAATTGAAATGGCCTTTAGAATAGTGCTGGACTTTCAATTTTTTGAAAGAGTAGAACTCCTCCCAATAGTTCTGAGCACACATTTTTAGGTATTAGAAAAGAATCAGAATCATGGTAGATTTTAAGGAGCTAAAGAAATAGTAAAAAATAGGCCTTCATAAGCAAATCTGGTAATTTTGAGACTTTAAAAAAGCTAGTTGTTTTATTTTATTCCTGAATTTCTCCAGTAGATGGAGCTTTACTAATGAATATCGTACAAAGATAGGTATTTATCTTATATTGTGGGTAAAATCTCAAACGTTCTCATCTGTTCATGTATTTCCTTATCTATCCAGTAATGCATACGGTTTTTGACAAATAATATTTTTCAATTACAATGTTACAAATGGAAAACACCAGGGATATTGTCTACATAATTATAATGTGCTAATTATGCAGACTGAGGTGGTCACATACTGAGCTTTCCAATCCATTTAGAAGCAATGGGGAACAGATAGTGAAAGCTTTCCCCTGACCTTCTTGAACCATATTCCTTCCTCTTTGTGTTGAGAATGCAAAATTATTAAAATGAAAATTTTACAGAATTCTATATTCTGAATTATGTAGAGTATAATTATGTTGAATATATGCAGAGTATAATTTTAATGCACCTTTCTCCCTCTCCACCCGGAAGGAGATGTCTATACATTTGGCCTTGGCCAGTATGGACAGCTTGGACATGGCACATTTGTTTTTGAAACCTCAGAACCAAAAACTGTGGATCATTTGGGAAAGCATAAAATTTGTAATATTGCATGCGGGGAAAATCATACAGCTTTAATAACAGGTATGTATGTTATCGTGATATTTGTGAATTTTTGCATAGGATATAAAGTTACGTATCATAACAAAAATTAGTATGCTTGTGTGTTTCTCTTTACCTGGATACTAAAGGGACCTTAATGGTGTGTTAAAGTACTCTTAGAATATATTAAACAATTCAGGCATGGGGTTCAGACCTTTTGGGTCTGCAAAAACCAACCCAGTGTAGTTGTTTACAAGAATAATAAAAATAAAATGCAGAGATGTAGGATGGGGGCCACCTGGCTCGAATACCGTCTATGTGAAAGGGATCTAGATATCTTAGTTAGACTACAAACTGAACATGAGTCAACAGCAGTGGGTTGCAAACTAAGGCCTGTGGGCCAGATGCAGCCCTCCAAAGTCATTCACCCAGCCCCCACCCTAAACTTTGGATTTAAGGTTGCCTTAAGTCTGAAACGTCTCAAAGACACACAACAACAAAAAATGATTAACTTTACTATCTCATCAGTCAAAAGCAGGTAAAAATTGTTCTTTATTTAAAATATTGTATTGTTCTTTCATTTTTTTTGTACTATGTGCAGTGTTCATGTTGTTTTCAAACTATAGTCTGCCCCACCAATAGTCTGAGGGACTGTCAACTGGCCCTCTGTTTAAAAAGTTTGGGGATCCTTGGTCAACAGGATGATGCAACAGCTAAAAAAGCCAATGGGTTCTAGGCTTTATCAATAGGAGCATAGTATTTAGATTGAGGGAAGTTATAGTGCCACTCTATTGCACTTTGGTCAGACCTCTCCTGAAATACTGTGTCCAGTCCTTGCATCATAGTTCAAGAAGGACATTGACAAGGTTGTGCCAACAAGAAGGGTAGCAGAAAAGGTTGACCAAAATGATCAAAGTTTTGAAAACCAAGCCCTGTGAGGAACAGCTGAGGGACCTGGGCATGTTTAACTTGGAAAAGAGAAGTTTGAGGGGGGACATGGTAGCCATGTTGAACTATTTTCTTCTGCTCTGGAGACCAGGATATGGAGCATTGGATTCGAACTGCAGGAATGGAGATTCCACCTAAACATGAGGAGGAATTACCTGATGATGAGAGCTGTTCGGCAATAGAAGATTCTGCCTTGGGAGTGTGGTGGGCCCCCCTTTCTGGAGGAGTGCATGACATAGGGTTGGACGGAATGGCCCTTGTGGTCTCTTCCAACTCTGATTCCATGATTCTAACTCTGGAATTACAAATTGGCACTCAGAAATAAAAACTCATTAGGTAGCATTGGAAATATATTGTTAAGTTTTTTGTTTTGTTTTTGTTTGTTTTTTGTTTTGGTTTTTTTGGGTTTTTTTTTTTAAAAAACAACTGTGCAGTGATATGGTTAACACGAGGCAGCCAAATTATGGATTTGTTATTGAGACAATGTCTCAGGTACACATGCTTTGTCCTCCACATTGCTTGCCTCACATGTTTTATTCTCAGTTCTAAATTTAGCGAAATATGATTTTTCTCCATTAAAGTTCAGCTTCACAAACCATTTTGTTTCCAAATCAAGCTCAGACAAAATGTTTGAAATTGGTTCAAGGAGCACATATATGAATCAAGCTTTCAAGAGCTTATAATAATAATGGAAGACTCCTTAAAATGTAAAATCAAACATGCTTTGTAGTTAGCCTTAGCAAATAGTGGCTTTTTGAAGAGGGTTAACCTGCCTCATGGCATTTAGATGCCATCCCGAGTATACATCATTAAAGTTTAACTATGCATCAGTCTCATTATACATCATTAATTTCATGATGTCATCAAGGATTCTGAATAAAACTGCACTGTGCCATAAATATGTCCACCAGCTGTGTTTTCCAATCTGTCCAAGGTTATGCAAATTTAATTTATGCATTATTGATGCAATTTGGGGATTGTTGATGTTTTTCCAACCAGCCTTTGGAGAAAGCTATTTCTCCTTTTAATCAGCTTGCATCAATATCAATTGACTGAACATCCTATAGATTTGGCATAGTTGCTTTACATTTTTGTTTCCTCCACAAACTGAATTCTGCAATCAAAATTTCTACATATCAGTGAGGAATTTGAGACTGAGAGGTGAAAAAATATTCAGTAAATAGGCCTTGAAGGTAAAGTTGTAAGTGTGACTCCATTTTTTTACAAGTTTTCAAAATCACCACTAGGTGGTACAGGCAAATTGAAAGGAATGGTTGATGCATTTCATAGCTAAATCAGTTCAATTGTATTTCATGTAATTTCTTTTATTTCTGTTACATTAATGAAATGTTGATCTTACAGAGAAAATCATATTTTAGAATTTCTACTCTTGGAGCTAAAATGATTTTCTTTGTGAAATTATTTAGTTTCTTCCAGGATGATGTTTTGACACTCTTCCTCATCCTACATTAGTAAATGTGCTTCTCTCCACATTTAGAGAATGGCCTCATGTATTCCTTTGGAGATGGACGGCATGGCAAGTTAGGACTTGGGGAAGAAAATTACACAAATCAATTTGTACCTACCTTATGCTCCAATTTTTTGAGGTTTATTGTACATTCGGTAAGGCAACAGGTTTTCTTTTTCCTTCATGCTTTGAAATACTTATGTTTTATTTAAAAGAACCCTGTTTAAAGCTTTCCATATGCTGTACAGCGTTGTATTTTTTAATTATAGATGAGCATTGAACAAAATGAAAATCCTTTGGATGATTAGTTTATCATTTCTCCTTCTGTTTAGTCTGGAAAAGAGATTTGTATGAAGTGTCTGAGCAAAGACAGGGCTGCAGTGTCTGAGATGAAAACACTTCAAAGTGTTGTGTATTTCCAAACAAATTTCTAGGATGCATGCCATTCTGTTCCTCATAGGATTTCTTTTTACAGCTCTTCAATTTTAGACCTGGGATGCGTGATATTATTATATCTTTAATGCTATAGTATTATTTGTACTTATTTGCAGGACGTATAATTGAATTCAGTCTGACAAAGGAGAGAAGACTTATGCATGATTGTTCTGTAAGATGTATATAATAGAACTGGCATCAGCAAAGGAAAGTAGGTGAAGGAACAAGGAAATAGGGGCTTTAGCTCTCTCCCTTTTTGCATTGTACCTTCATTCTCCCACCCTCCCAACAGTCTTACTTATAAGCAGAGAAGACTTATGCAGGATTGTTCTGTAAAGTAGATGTGATAGAATTGGCAACTGCAAACGAAAGAAGATGAAACAACAAAGAACTAGGATCTTTAACTCTTTCTCTCTTTTGCATTGTACCTTCATTCCCCCATCCTTACTACAGTCTGCCCTGAAAATAATCTCTGGTGAATACTAGACGTTTTCACAACATCAGGTTTACCCTATCTCTATCTTCATATGCTCAGTGGAAAGAATTCAGTCCATTTTCTGAGAATATAAGCCAGTGATTCCCACACTTTGGTTCTCCAGGTGTTTTTGGACTTCAGCTCCCACAATTCCTAACTAGTGGTAGACTGGCTAGGATTTCTGGAAGTTGAAGTCCAAAACAACTGGAGGAACAAAGGTTGAGAACCACTAATATAAGTGTTCTCATATCCCTTTAGCTGAACTCTGATGCATCTTCTGGTACAGGTGATAACTTGGTTTGTACTGGATGTTACATTATTATCTTAGTTCCAAATAGGATACTCTGTTTCTCAGATATGGTAGTGCTATATCCCTTGCTGAGATCAGGACAAAGGAAGCTTTCATAGGCGAGTTTTATATACCACAGCAATGTTCTCTAGGTAAGAAAGCATTGAAATTCTTATCCATAGAGAGCTTGCTTATCAGCACTGAGGTAGCACAATATTTACATGTATAACAATAGGCTCTTTACTGGGTTATGAAACTCAAGCAGTGTGAAGCTGTGAGATACTTACATGTCAGCTTTCAAGTAAGATTATATATATAGGTGCATATATTACAAATATATGACCACACCTATATAGAATATGTATTACTGGGTGAGAAGGCTAGTGACCTAACTCCTCAACAATCTTCCCCAAGTGACAATAGAGTGTTGTGTCTGGAAATTTCCTTCTAGCCTATAGAACACAGTTTCATGATGGTTTTTCACTCTTGTGGTATTTCATTTGTATGCACAAGGTTTTACAAATTAAATTATCCATGCATACAGTACAGGAGAAGCTGTCACATCTAATAAGTGCCAACGTGTTTGGATCCTTATATTAACAATTTTATTTTATGGTTATTGTCTCGTGATCCTCCAAAGGTTGGTAAACTGCTTCTCATGATCCCTGCTTAGCTTGACTTATGGTGAGGTATAATGGAAGAGTAATTCACTGTAATTTGGAGAACTCTGGAATTTCCCTGACCCATTTAAAACATTGGCTGCTGCTGCTGCAGGAGACAGCTAACTGGTGAGGGGCCACAGATACATATTTGCATAATGGGGACAGTAAAATAGGGAAGCCCAGTAAAATGTTTTCTCCACAAAAAATCCTGAGTTTAACAACAGAACATTTTAATCTCATATTTGTGACATTTTTCTTGATGTGATGGTTTTGCTCAAATACCATATGAAAATTGCATTGAAAATTGTTTTTGTTGTTGTTGATACCAAGAGGCATATGTTCTGAAGTCTGTTCATCAAGAAAAATACTTTTTATTTATTTGCCTCTCACTATATTCCTGATGAATAGCATTTACATTGAAAATCTCTGCTCTGTCTCATGCTATAGGTGGCCTGTGGTGGTTGTCATATGCTTGTTTTTGCCTCACCAAGGCATAAAGAATCAGATAAAGGACATGTGGCAGACCAAAATGAACACAGCTTATCTAAAATATTCACTGAAATAGGTGAAGATGCATTAGAAATAGAGACATTTCATCGAACGTTATCAGCACGTGTACGACGGAGAGAGAAGGTAACTGTTTCTAATAATTGTCAAAAGCTTCATCTCCCCATCCCAAATGCCAGTATAGTGCAATCCCTGGATCTGCAAGGGATGTGTTCGAAGATCCACTGTGTTGTAGTTCAGCCAGGAGCTGCAGATGATGGGGATTGAAGGGATTTTAGTTCATAATTCTTCTTGGGAGAATGGGTCTGTGTCTGGTGAGAGAGAAATAGCTTCAGAGCAGAGTGGAGATGGAGATGCCATGGCATGAGAAGATAGGGAGAACCTTTCCCCTAGTCATTCCTTGGCAATGAACGATGAGGAGCTGAAAGGGAGAAATCTTTCCCTTGGGAACACACCTGAAGTTAATAGGTGTTTGAGGCTCAATCTCCAAGAGGAGGGAGCCAGATTACGGAGGTCACAGAGACTCTGTGAGGGACATCAGAGGCAGAAATCCAAACAACAGAGTGAGAAAACCTTGAAGCAACAGAGCAGACGTCAAAGGCATGACTTTATGGCTTTGTGGCCCTTAAATTAAAGGATTGTTTACTAAACAGGTTAAATTAAATGGATTGTTTACTAACTGCATTACTGTGTACACCTTGGTTTCACGTTCAAGTCTATGTTTAAGTTCTTTGGGAAAGTTTTGTGCTCATGTTCATGGATTCTTGTTTTGGCAGAAGTTCCTGTGTTCCTGGTTATGGATTTATGCTTATGTTTTGATTCCTGTTTTCTTATATACCTTATCTATTTTGGAACAGAACTTTTGGACTATTGCCTTTTAGTAGCCTTTTTTTTCCTATTGCTTTTTGGGACATTGCCTTTTGCTTTATTATATTGGCCTTTTCTTCAGTAAATTGTTTAGTTAGTAATACTGGACTTGTGTGTGGTGCAAAGGTGAATTCAAGCCAGAGTGAAACACTCTGTGGATATCTGAAATCACTGATAATACTGAAAACTATACTATGATTATATTTGGGTCAGAAGTATTCCTTAGAATAGTACTGGAGGACCTAGAGAGGCCGCAAACAGTTTCGAGGAGAATATTTTTTGAAGTGCAAGTAAGTGGAACTATTGAGTATTGAGTCCATAGATCAGGGGGTTGTTCTGTATTTGAAGAATTCCCTTTATTTTTTAAATGCTCTTGTTCTTTGTAATAATATTTAGCGTCTTGGATTTGAAGTCCATATAAGAAAGCATTTTTTTTCTCCTTTAAAAAGAGTGTCACCCTGTCCCATAATGCTTCTGTATCTAATAATTATTTTGAATAATTTTTCCACAAATAGGAATTTGAACAGATCTGATCTGGAAAAATTGATCATGTTAATGAAATCTCCCCACAGCATCTTTTTGTGCACAGCCTACTCAGTATGCTAACATGATGATAGCACCCATTTGTGTGTCAATATGACATGAGGCACAGTACAAGCTGTACTTGCAATGAACTATGTTTATCTGGATAGTATCTACTCCTGCAGGTCTAATTTGTGTCAGAACTCCTGTGAAATGCTTAAAGAATCATTATTTTACCTTACAATTGTCATAGCCAGGCATCCTGTATAATGCATTTTGAATTGTGAGACCATAGATTTTTTTATAGAAAATGAAAAATACCTTAAGATGATAGAGAAGTTTCTGTGGTACTTCTTATACATAGGGTGTGACTTTACTTTACAGGTTTCTTTTACTGAATGATGGATTAAATCAGGAGAACTCAAAGTGATGGTCTGTGAACCAGGATTGTTCCATGACCATCAACTAATGGTTCCTGGAAAGTTTCCAGGAAAGAAACAAATACTTGTAGCTAATGGCACTAGTCCCTGGCATGCTGGCAAGAAAATTTCCAGTTCTCCATGTTAGATTGCTTAATAAACATTGGCTTAAATAACCTGAAACTCACAGGTTTTGGTTTTCATTTTAATGTTGTATAGAGATCTTTAAAGTTGAGAGCATTTCTGTGTGACTTAGATCTGGCCCAGAAGAGTCCAAAGAGTCAAACAGTTGCTGGAAGAAACCACAAGAGCCATCCAATCCAACCCTTTGCCAAGCAGAAAGACACAACCAGAGTAGTCCCAACAGATGGCCATCCAGCCTCTGCTTAAAAACTTCCAAAGAAGACTTCACCACATTCCAAGTCAGCATAGTCTACTGTTGAGCAGCTCTTACCATAGGAAATGTTGCCAAATTTTAAGTGGAATCTCTTTTTCTGCAATTGGAAATCTTCAAACATGGTCGCAGTGCTGATTTCTTAATTTAGCCTGAAATCCTGTTGGTGCACTATGCTGATGTAGTTACTGCAGAGGGAGGGAGGCTGTGGGTGCAGCAATGATGAAGGCAGTTGGGCACTCCTCTGTGGCTATTCAGAGCAGTCCGATTTTGTGTGCTTTCACTTACCACCACTGTGAAACGGTAACATCCAGTCCAGAAAAAATGTAAAGCAAATGCAGCCTTCAGCTTGCCAATCACTTCTTGATGGTTACCTTTTAAAGTGGCTTAAAGGGGGCTTTGTTTTCTTCTAACCCTTTTGCAAGGAAAAATCACCAGAACAATTTAATCGACTAGTGCGGACACTTCCTGCATTGAGCGAAAGCTTCCTAAAGCCTGCATCAGGTGTCATAAATGCTACTGTTCCCCTTGGTATACCCAGAGCAAATCACTCTGAGTCACAGGCAGCTGAGAAAGGAAAAGAGGCTTTGGACTATGAAACAGGTAAAGTGTATTTTGAACCTTGGTTTTTGTTGGAAGTATTGCCATTTCAAATATCAGATTAGTGCCCATTTCCTCTTATGTGTATAGACCAGTGGGTCTTGACCTGTGGTCCCCAGGTGTTTTGGCCTACAACTCCCAGAAATCCCAGCCAGTTTACCAGCGGTTAGGATTTCTGGGAGTTGAAGGCCCAAACATCTTGGGACCCACAGGCTGAGAACCACTGGTATAGACTGATCTTTTTGCCTTGTGTGAGGTGCGGAAGGGCATAGCTGATAAAATAGCATAACCCACATTGTAAAATAAACAAGTGAAAGAACTGACCCCTAAAGTTGTAAGTGATTTTATAGGGTTTGTAGTGGTGTTGATGGAGCCCCTGGTGTTGCAGCAGGTTAAACCACTGAGCTGCTGAATTTGCTGACCAAAAGGTTAATGGTTCGAATCCAGGGAGTGGGATGACTTCCTGCTGTTAGCCCCAGTTTCTGCCAACCTAGCAGTTTGAAAACATGCAAATGTGAGTAGATCAATAGGTACTGCCCTGGCGGGAAGGTAACAGTGCTCCATTCAGTCATGCCAGCCTCATGACCTTGGAGGTGTCTACGGACAATGCGGCTCATCTTAGAAATGGAAATGAGCACCACTCCCTAGAGTTGAACATGACTCAGTTTACTGTCAAAGGGAAACATTTACCTTTTAGTGGTGATGACAGAGAAGATATAAGGACACAGTACTTGGGATTGTTGAATTATCTGGCTCTTGAGCTTGTATCCTTGTTTTGTGACCTGTTGTTGCTCCTGAGTAACTGTTTAAATTATGTGTATGGGGGAGGGAGGGCTATAAGCAAGCACCTCAGCCTAACATCCAAGTATCATTGTTTAGCGTTTTCTCTGCATTTTTTTTCCGTATTTGTCATCGCAGTAACGTCTGGATAGGCTACTTATACATGATTATATAGAATTTCTTCTCTCATTAGATGGGACAGACAAGATATATATTTTTGCTTCATTTATAATTCAGTTATGCACTGAAAAGGGACTGACTTCCTTTTCACAGAAAAAAAGCTATTTCTTACTGTTCATCCTGGATTCTGTTTTAAAGGCGATAAGAAAGAAGAGAACAGTGGCACAGACGAGAGTTCAACTGAGGATGATTCAGATGAAAATGAGGGTAGAACCCTTGGGGACACCACAGATGTCTTGAATATGGTAATGCATTTAAACAGTACTTGTATGCTTTGAATGGTTATATGGAGAAGACACTTCCTTGTATTACAGCTTTCATACTGGTTCATTACCATGAGAAGCAGCCACAGAATCTTCTGCTCCATCAAAATACATCATGACTTGTGGCACTTCTTAGGACTGTGAAAAGTCTCATTGTCCTTAGCTTTTTAGGCTGGTGGCTGACTAGAGCTCCGTTCTCTTGAAAAATAAAAGACCGGTTCATACGGTTGGCATAAATTGCACGTAGTGTTCAAAATACTTTACTATCTATCTTGCTAAACTCGCTACAGAGCCACTTTCCACAAGAACACTCTGACTCCTTTTAAAAGAAATAGAGCTTGCTCTCAGCTCTCTTCCATTTCTCAGTCCATCTCATTGCAAGTCCTGCTCTGTTCATTAAAACAAGGCAAATGTGGATGTACGAAAGTTATAGAAAACTTTTAAGGACATAGAAAAGCTGAGCAGGTTTAGAGAAGGGTAGCAAGAATGGTAAAATATGGGTAGAACAAAATATGTGAGGAAAGCTGGAAGCAGCCAGGCATGTTTAGCTTGGTGAAAAGAGGAGTGTGAGAGATGTCATGGCTTTCCTTGAAAGTAAGGTTAGGTCTAATTATCTTAAACTACAGAAGAGTAGATTTCAATTAAAAATTAGAAGTGACTTCTTGACAGAAATAAGTGGAGCCAATTATCTCCGGGCATCTTCAAAAAGAGGCTGAACAGAGCCTGCTGGTTGTTCAGAAGTCAAAATTTCAGAAAGTGATGCTAGTTATACAAGCTTCACCAGATGAAATTCCTTCTTCCTTACAGCTTTTAAAGGTACAAAAGCTCTGACTTCTTTTTTATCTTATCAACCTGTTCAGGTAGTAAATGATAATGTAGCAGAGATTAAAATTTAGGTTTAAGGCTTATTGTTTGGAAAATAGTCTGAGATCTTCCTGTACAAAAGCAGACTGCATGACTCTATCAGTGGCTCTAAACCTGTGGGTCCCCAGGTGTTTTGGCCTACAACTCCCAGAAATCCCAGCCAGTTTACCAGCTGTTAGTATTTCTGGTAGTTGAAGGCCAAAACATCTGGGGACCCAAAGGTTGAGAAGCACTGCTTAATGCTGTTAGCTTGCTACTGTTACTTACTGCCTTTATCAAACATTTTTCAGACCCATGTGATGAGACTGAATCCCAGCGATCAAACACTAGAGTTAACACCAATTCAAAAAGAAAAGGTACTGTCCGTTTTTATATGTATTTTGAACTGCATGTTTTTGCTGCTAAAAACATAACTACAACAATAAGTCAACTAATCTGTTAATTGCTATTAATTAATAATACTGTTATTAATGCAGTATCTAGAATTTAGTGGTTTCCTACAACAAATTATGGACATCTTTTGATTTACGCATAATCTGTTGACTTAAAACAATCTTTTTCACATGGAAAATACATTATTACAATTAATATAAATTATTTCACTCCACATTTGTGAGTTTATTCACAGATTTGATCAAATGGTCTCTTGGAATCTCTATGTACTGCAGTGCAACTCTGTGGAATTGAACTAGAGAAGCTAGTGATGCCTAGAGGGGTGTTCTTCCAAGTTAAAGGAAAGGATTTATTTATTCACATTTTTTCCACTTTCAGAAGGGGCCATGTACCCTTAACTCCAGCAAATGTGGAGGGCCAACTGTATTTTCAAAGTATTATCTCTTTTAAGCAGCCAGCAAAAGCAGGACATTTTGCTTTAAAGTCATTGCATTGTATGACTTGGCCTTATTCGTATTTCTTTTCAGTTTTCATTGTAAGGATTTGAGAATATCCTGCTCTGTCTTCATGTAGATACAGGCTTTGTTTAAACAATCCTGTAAATCTAGTCTCTGCTGTAAATTAATTTCCTACTTTCAGTAATCAACAGGAAACAGGACAAATCTTTATAATACTGTTGCCAAGTTGGAATGCTGTGCATCATCATATAACAGTATAAACACCTGAAGGGAAATGTGATTTCCATCCTTTTATTTTTATTTTAATAAAATATGACTTCTTCATATTAGAAGAAAGTAATTTCTTATGAACAATAGCATTTGTGCACAAAATAGCAATTTCTTCCACTCTAATAAGCTGGGAATCTCTTTGGTGAAGAAGCAGTATATGCATATGTGCAGTAGAGATCTGGATTTGGACACAGTGTCTGAAAAAGACACAGTACATAAAAGTAAATGGAAATGTGAAAAAGTGGGGGTTTGGAATGATAATGCACTATTCTGCAATCAAGTTAAGATGTATAATATCAAATATAAAATAATGTAGGTTCTAAACATTTTATGAAGTCTTACAATCCATCTTGTAGCCTCAGACATAAAAATGATAGAAATATATTTACAATGTCATAAGAATTACAGGGATGTATCAAAAAATGCCTGGTGCTAATAAAAAGACTCATCTGCTTGCATAAGGGTGCCCCTGCCCCCATTCACCCAGTTTCACCATCTTTTCCTTTCCTTAATTTTCTGGATTTTATAAAGCACCATGGTCTGTAGAGAAACTGGGGGAGGGAGGGATAATTGGAGCTCAAGGTTTGTTTCTTTTTTGCTGCTGCTTCTTCTTTTTTTCCCTTACATTTCCTGTATTTATACCACTTTCCCATCCTATCTTGCTATTTACTTTTCATGTGCTGATTTGTTTGCTGTCTTGTTTGCTCATGTGTTGTTCTTAATGCTCTTCTTTTTTTTCTTTTTCTTTTCTTGCTTCTCATATGGAGTAGAAGAAAAATAAAAATGCTAAAGTGAACATGGATGGTAAGGGTGGGTTGGAAAAATCTGATCTCTCCCAGGTTCAGAAAGGATTGAACTCAGAGGAAACATCTTCTAAAGAGGAACCTACACATTCAGAGTGTTTAGGGGAGGAACACACCACAGAAAAAAGCCCTTATGATGCTTTTGTGAGGAAAATTAAGGCTGGCAAAAATTATACAAAAAGTAAATCTGAGCAGTCCATTGCTGTTAGTGCAATGAAATTTGACACTCAGCAGACTGTTATAAAAGAATTTAAAGGAACGAAAAGGAAAGACGTGGATGAAACAAATTCCAGATTAATGCAACAAGAAATTCCTCTTAGTCTTCATAGAGATGATAGGATGGCTACGTTATTTGTGGATCATCAGGAAGATAAAGCCAAGGTTAAAGTAATGAAACCTGACAAATTTGGGACTATATATGTAGAATCTAAAGAAAGCAACAAACAACAGAGTGAGTTGAAACACAAAGAAAAAATAATGAAACAAATAGCAGTAACTGTGTCATCCTCATCAAGTGAGGAAACAAGCAATGGATCAGCAAAATATGTTCTTCAGATAAATCAGTATAAGTATGAAAACATGTCAAAGAGAGAAATGGAAGTAGAAAACAGAAATATTAGGCAGGATGAAAAGCAGTATGCCTATAAAAAGAGGGAACACTTTGAAGATACCAGTGAGCAAGAAGAGATTGATAAGAGAATGAACATAGAGGAGCAACCAGATAAGGATGTTCACACACAAGATCATATGGAAAATAAGGAAGGCAATGAAAAAAGTGATATGGTTGTGGAAGAGGCCGAAGATGAGGATCAAGATGAAAAAGTTGACAGTGAAGTAGAGTCTGAAGGAGATGGAGGTGAAAATGTAATTTGTGAGCAACATAAGGAAGATGCCATTGTAGCCATGGACAGAGATGAAGAAGATGAATTGCAGTCTGATGCAGAAAACAGGGCTAAGCTCGAAGATGGACTAGAAGAGAATCATCAAGTAAGAAGCCCCGAAGAAAAAGATGATACAGATGCTGAACAGGAAGAAGATGAAGAAGCTTTAGAAGAGGTTGAAAAGGAAGGAAAATCTGAAAATGTACCAGAGGGTACATTTGTAGATGACATAATAGAGGAGGACCAAGAGAAGCATGATTGGGAGAAAGAGCAAGCAAGGAAGATGACCAAGGTGAATGAGGAGGAAAAAGAAGAAAGTTATGAAGGATCAAAAGATGGGAAAGAAGAAGGGAGTGAAGGAAAGGGAGATGGGAAGGAACAAAAGGCTGAAGAAAAGGAAGATGAGGAGGAAGATGAGGAAGGGGAAGAAGAAGAGGGAGAAGGTCTGGAGGAGGAAGAAAACATGGAGGAAGAAGGGATAGAGGAAGAGGAGGATGAAGAGGAAGATGAAACTGAGGAGGAGGCAGAAAGTGAAGAAGAAGGAGTAGAGGAAGAGGAGGAGGAAGAGGGAGGGATTATAGAAGAGGAGGAAGAGGAGGAGGTTGAAGTAGAAGAGGAAAAAGAAGAAGGAGGAGGAGTGGAGGAAGAGGAGGAAGATGAAGAGGAGCAGAAACATGTGGAAGAAGAGGAGGAGGAGGGAGAAGAGGAGGAGGAGGAGGAAGTAGCAGAAGAGGAAGAGGAAGAAGGAAAGGAAGAAGAAGGAAAAGAAGAAGAAAATGAAGAAGAAATGGAAAATAAATCAGTTGAAGAGAGTGAAAGAGGGGAGGAGGAGGAGGAAGAGGAAGAAGAGGTCAAAAAGAAAGATCGTCAAGAGGAAGAAGAAGAAGAGCAGGAAGAGGAAGAGGAAGAAAAAGTAGGTAGGAAAACAAAAGGTCACAAACAACAAGAAAGTAATAAAAGCAGAAAGCTGGAGACAAACAGTAAAATAAAAATTCCTAAACAAAAAGTAACATCAAAACAGCATGCAGTGAATGGACTGCAAAATTCGCAACAGTTTTGGAACAATGTTCTCCCACATTATTTGACACTAAAATAACCCTGGAGGTGGATTTCTCACAGCTATTTCCATTGTACTGTGCCAAATGTTAATTCTATCTTTTTTTAGTAAAATAAATGCTGAAAGCTTTTATAAAACTACCTCAATGTTCACGTTTTAAAGAGCACTTTAAAAATAATAATGCAAATGTCAAAATCTGCCATTAAGTCAGGTACAGTATTTGCAACTGTCTCATGACTCTAGCCAGGGACTTGCCTGTGTTGAGTGTACATTTTTTTCTGTTGGGTTAGACTGACTTGTGCCGCATCCAAAAAAGTGCCCTCTGTTCATCAGTATACCATATTTCTATGCTGCTGTTGAGGACTTTGTATGTTTCTTCTATTTGCTTTATAATATTTACAACAGTAAGAACAATCCCAAAAAGTAGGTCAGTAGCATTATTCCCATATTATTGACAGGCAGAGGAAAAGGTGAAGTAATACACCTAAGGCTATGTATCTGTTGAGTTCATTTGAGACATTATGATTTGAAGTCAGGTCTCTGAGCACTTTAAGATCGTTGACTGTAATTCATTTTAACATGTGCTCAGAGCTGTCCATAACTCTCTAGAAATCTGCACTTTTTATTCAGAGGTTTCCCTACAGAGTGGGCTGTTTCCATTTGCTGAAGACTTCTGATCCACTGACACATTTCTTCTGATAGAGTGAAAAGAAGGCTATCTTTGCTGAGCCCCTGCTTGCCTTGCCCCCTGCTTCCTCTGGAAAAGGATTAGATACTGGTGAGACTGGGGGTTGCAGAGGGTCTCATTGGCAGAGAAAACTTGAATCAAATCCTCTAAAAGCACTATGCCCACATGTAGCTTCTCTAGTCCAGACCTGCACTTTCAATATTCAGGGTACATTTGGGAACTGTGGAGAATACCACATGGTTGTATATAGATGAACTCTCTGGCTGCAGTTGTTCAGCTGTTACATGTAGTAATGGAATAGGGAATATGACAGGATAGGGGATTGGAAACACTTTTGGAGCCAGTGGCTCTTTCTAGTGTGCCCTGTTTGCCTGGAAGTATTGGCTTATTAGTATTGACAGTCACTGGTATAAACATGCCTTAAAATGGCTTCCTTTTCTAATAAGACTTTCTCTCCCAATTCAGTGCACATACTGATGAAGGCAAAAATCTTGATACAGTTTAGACAAGCAAGTTCATGAATGATGTATACAAGGATGGTTTTTATTGTCATTGTTTCCAAACATTTCCATACACACAGTAAAGGCAGTGTAATGTATATGATGTGCCTTATGAAATCATAATAAATATTAAGGTGCATCTTTCATATGTAGTCTGTTGTGTTAATTCTTGATCATTGCTATGGTGACTGTATGCGTAAGTGAGTATGTGTGCCTATTTTGAAATGCTGGTTGCTCATTTTTACCATTGTACATAGTTGTAACATAATGTTTTTGAATGGTTTTGGCAGATGATCATCTTGGAGGGCATTCTTCCTTAAGACAGTTTATGATTTTATATCACCAGTAAAAATTATGTGCCGATTCATAATAATATCTATTCTACACCTCTGGTTATATACCTCTGACATATGTGATTCATCACTTTGTTTTAAGGTATGATAATTATACAGAAGAGAAGTGTTAGTGACTGAGTCAGCAGTTGGATTGATAATAAGAGAATATTTGGACTGAAGCACATTCAGGACCTCTATGTTGTAGTACTGATTCCTAAATAAGCACTTTATTTAAGAATAAAACCAGTAAAGTTGTATTCCGGATTTAACTGAAATTGATCCTGTGTATTTGATAAATGCATAGGGTATTATGCAGAAAAATACAGGGTTAGTCAAAATGAATAGGCCAATAAGAAAATTAATTTTAGACGAATGTATGTTTACTGTAACCAAACCACAGCTACGTAGCGACAGATAAACTATCAAAGTTTTTTTTGAGCAACACACATGTACGTTAATGCCGCTAGGCGTCGCTAGGGGTCGCTGTTTTCAAAATGGCGGAATCAAGCAAAGAGAAGGCGTTTTGTGTGATGACATTTGCTAAAACAATGTCAGTAATTACGGTCCAGCGAGAATTTCAAGGGTTAGGGGTAGGGTTAGGGTTAGGGTTAGGGTTAGGGATAGGGTTAGGGTTAGGGATAGGGATAGGGTTAGGGATAGGGTTAGGGTTAGGGATAGGGTTAGGGTTAGGGTTAGGGATAGGGATAGGGTTAGGGTTAGGGATAGGGTTAGGGTTAGGGTTAGGGTTAGGACCTCAACGAACACCTTCCCAGACGTTGCTGCATTCGATGCCATTACGTCGGATGTGCTGCAACGGATGTGGAATGAACTGGACTATCGCTTGGACATCTGCCGTGTCACACGGGGCGCCATATCGAACATCTCTGAAGGTGAGACAAAACTTTGATAGTTTATCTGTCGCTACGTAGCTGTAGTTTGGTTACAATAAACATACATTCGTCTAAAATTAATTTTCTTATTGGCCTATTCATTTTGACTAACCCTGTAATTTCCACATCATAATAGAATCCTAAGTGATCTGTAGAGGAAACTGCTAACCCAGTTTTGTACTCAGAAGCCTTGTCTCTTCAGAGTGCAGCACATAAGATGACACTTGCCCAATTTCTACAGTGTTTATGGATTCTACAACCATCATCAAAGTTACAATATTTATGTTTTTAAAAGGCTTTGAAGTATAAGTTGAATTATGGAATGGTGGTGTGGATTGTTTTTCTAAGACTGCGTCTGTATTTTTAAGACAATCAACATGCATGGGCTTTCCTGCTGTTTAGAAAATGTGTGTGTGCATCCACACTGGCTTTTCATTTTCAACAAGGAATGGGCGTCTGTCAGGCTTGAAGGGGCAATATTAACCCTGTCCATTTTGCCCTCCGTACTACCACTCCAAATTTGCCCCAGAATGGCCCATAGCACTGGAAATATCTTAATTGTGAGCAATTAAGATATTGGGGGTATTACTTTTTTAGGCCCTAATTAACAATTGCTCCAAATACAAAATGACTTAATTTTCTCCCATCCACCCAAGAAAGAGTAAATGCCTGAAAATGTGGCAAAATTGTCCCTAGTCTTGGGCAACATAGAGAACCTCCACTCTAAATTCGGGAAGCAGAAACCTTTGGTGTTTGCAGTGCTGCCCATGGGCTGTACTTTATTCCTGGCCTGAGAGTTCTCGCAAAGTTAAAATGATGAAATAATTCCAATACTAAGGGATAAATTATGTTGATGTAAAGGGCCCTGCAGTTCATCAGATTAGTTTCTGAACACCAAACTGAATACCCCTTCAAAACATGTACCGTATATTCCGGGGTACAAGACGACTTTCTAAGCCTGAAAAATCATCTCAAAAATGGGGAGTCGTCTTGTACCCCGGCATAAATTTTTTTGGATCATTTTTCCCTCGTGTCCCTCGCCCTTGGCATCCCCGCGTGGTGGAGCCTGAGGAGGGAGGGCGGAGGGAGGGAGGGAGGGGGCGAGGAGGAGGAGCGGCAGGCTTCGCTACCAAGCTGGCAGCATGGTAGCCTACTGGGCTGTCTTCACCTTCGCAGGCATTGAGTTGGGTCCGCCTCCGCCCTCCATCTCAGTGTAGCTGCTGCAGGAGGGAGCCAAAGCCAGAGGGGCGGGGCCTCTCGCTGCTCCGCCCCGCCCCCGCAGATGGCCCCGCCCCCCGGTTCCGCCCCCCCGCTCCGTCTTCAACTCCTGCTGCTTTACCAGGCCGGCGAGGGTGTTTGCATGCTGTGCTGTCCCCTCCGCCACTGGTCTGCTGCTAGCTTTGCATGCAAACACCCTCGCCGGCCTGGTAAAGCAGCAGGAGTTGAAGACGGAGCGGGGGGGCGGAACCGGGGGCGGGGCCATCTGCGGGGGCGGGGCGGAGCAGCGAGAGGCCCCGCCCCTCTGGCTTTGGCTCCCTCCTGCAGCAGCTACACTGAGATGGAGGGCGGAGGCGGACCCAACTCAATGCCTGCGAAGGTGAAGACAGCCCAGTAGGCTACCATGCTGCCAGCTTGGTAGCGAAGCCTGCCGCTCCTCCTCCTCGCCCCCTCCCTCCCTGCGCCCCCCCTATGACTTCCTCTCACATATTTACATAGGGTCTCATCATGTCTCCTCTCAGCCTTCTCCAGGCTAAACATGCCCAGCTCTTTAAGCCACTCCTCATAGGGCTTGATCTCCAAACCCTTGACCTGCTCTCTCCTCCCTATGACTTCTTCTCACATATTTATACATGGCTCTCATCATGTATCCTCTCAGCCTTCTCTTCTTCAGGCTAAACATGCCCAGCTCTTTAAGCCACTCCTCATAGGCTTGATCTCCAAACCCTTGACCTGCTCTCTCCTCCCTATGACTTCTTCTCACATATTTATACATGGCTCTCATCATGTATCCTCTCAGCCTTCTCTTCTTCAGGCTAAACATGCCCAGCTCTTTAAGCCACTCCTCATAGGGCTTGATCTCCACCCTTGACCTGCTCTCTCCTCCCTATTAGTTCTTCTCACATATTTATACATGGCTCTCATCATGTATCCTCTCAGCTTCTCTTCTTCAAGGATAAACATGCCCAGCTCTTTAAGCCACTCCTCATAGGGCTTGATTCCACAACAGTGTGTTTCTCTCCCTCCTGACTTCCTCTCACATATTATACATGGCTATCATATCCACTCTCAGCCTTCTCTTCTTCAGGCTAAACATGCCCAGCTCCTTAAGCCACTCCTTATAGGGCCAGACCCTTGACCTGCTCTCTCCTCCCTATGACTTCCTCTCACATATTTATACATGGCTCTCATCATGTATCCTCTCAGCCTTCTCTTCTTCAGGCTAAACATGCCCAGCTCTTTAAGCCACTCCTCATAGGGCTTGATCTCCAGACCCTTGACCTGCTCTCTCCTCCCTATGACTTCTTCTCACATATTTATACATGGCTCTCATCATGTATCCTCTCAGCCTTCTCTTCTTCAGGCTAAACATGCCCAGCTCTTTAAGCCACTCCTCATAGGCTTGATCTCCAAACCCTTGACCTGCTCTCTCCTCCCTATGACTTAGTCTCACATATTTATACATGGCTATCATGTCTCCTCTCAGCCTTCTCTTCTTCAAGTGAAACATGCCCAGCTCTTTAAGCCGCTCCTTATAGGGCTTGTTCTCCAGACCCTTCTCCTCCCTATGACTTCCTCTCACATATTTATACATGGCTCTCATCATGTATCCTCTCAGCCTTCTCTTCTTCAGGCTAAACATGCCCAGCTCTTTAAGCCACTCCTCATAGGGCTTGATCTCCAGACCCTTGACCTGCTCTCTCCTCCCTATGACTTCTTCTCACATATTTATACATGGCTCTCATCATGTATACTCTCAGCCTTCTTTTCTTCAGGCTAAACATGCCCAGCTCTTTAAGCCACTCCTCATAGGCTTGATCTCCAGACCCTTGACCTGCTCTCTCCTCCCTATGACTTCTTCTCACATATTTATACATGGCTCTCATCATGTCTCCTCTCAGCCTTCTCTTCTTCAGACTAAACATACCCAGCTCTTTAAGCCACTCCTCATAGGGCTTGTTCTCCAGACCCTTGATCTGCTCTCTCTCCCTATGACTTCTTCTCACATATTTATACATGGCTCTCATCATGTATCCTCTCAGCCTTCTCTTCTTCAGGCTAAACATGCCAGCTCTTTAAGCCACTCCTCATAGGGCTTGTTCTCCAGAAAACAAGCCTGCTCCCTCCTCCCTATGACTTCCCCTCACATATTTATACATGGCTATCATATCTCCTCTCAGCCTTCTCTTCTGCAGGCTAAACATACCCAGCTCTTTAAGCAGCTCCTCATAGGGCTTGTTCTCCAGACCCTTGATCATTTTAGTCACCCTCCTCTGGACACATTCCAGCTTGTCAATATCTCTCTTCAATTGTGGTGCCCAGAATTGGACACAATATTCCATGTGTGGTCTAACCAAGGCAGAATAGAGGGGTAGCATGACTTCCCTGGATCTAGACACTATGCTCCTATTGATGCAGGCCAAAATCCCATTGGCGTTTTTGTTTTGTTTGTTTTTTTTTGCCACCGCATGACATTGTTGGCTCATGTTTAACTTGTTGTCCACGAGGACCTCAAGATCTTTTTCACACATACCGCTCTTGAACCACGCGTCCCCCATCCTGTATCTTTGCATTTCATTTTTGACAGAAGTCAAACTGGAAAGCTCTTATTGACCCAGGGTCCCCTTTCCTCTTTTCTGATCTCTTTTCCCCTTCTAACAATTAAACATCACCTGGCTATGTTCTTGAGAAACTCTAAAACAATTCAAGCTGTCACGGTGATTTAAGGATGAAGACATGTCAAGATGTGACCCAGTAAACATGTGCCATGCCAAATGCTACATTTCTGAAGGATGAGGTCCAATCTGCCCCTCTCTTCTGATAGGAGGTCCTGATTTATAAAGACTGCTTATAGATAAAAATTCTACAAATGCTTTGCTTTCACCTCAGTACTCATAATACAAAGCCTGACTTCTATTTGCATGCAAGCTTCTATGCCAACATACATGTAATCTGAACCATTTAAAGCCTGCTTTCATACTTGCCAGCATGATGGAAACGACCCAGAGCGTAAATGAAATTCAAGGGAGAAAGAGCAACTATAATGTCCAATGTAAGGTACAATGTCCCTTTCATAGGAACCTGCATGTCAGAAGCATTTGAATTCAAATTACCATATTGAATTCAAATCTCATTTTTTAAAAAATTTATTTGGTGTGCATTGGAAGAGGGGTGGTCTTATACGGCGAGTATATCCCAAACTCTATATTTTAACTAGAAAAATTGGGGGTCGTCTTATACGCCCAGTCGTCTTATATGCCGGAATATACGGTACTAATGCCATGGCTTCACATGCTAGCGATCATCTACACATAGGGATGTTTTGGCTTCTTTTGTGTTTCTGAGTCTATTGACAAAAGTTCAAAGATTGCCTATATGAACACATTGTGAGAGCTGGAAAAATATTGAAGAGGAATTGACATTGCAAAGGGTACTATTGCTAAAATTGTAATAATAATCCTCTCTGATTTTGGCTGCTAAGCAAGGTCAGCCCTGGTTAGTACTGGGATGGGAAACTGCCAACAAAGACCAGGTGATGGAGGAATGAACTGGTAAAACCACCTTTTAAGTATTTATTGCCTAAGAAAACCCTGTGAAATTCATGGAGTCACCATAAGTCAGCAGTCAGCTTGAAAGCATATACACACATTCTGCTTTTATTAATAGAAGTTTCACAAACATGTAACGTTTAAAGTATATTTAGTACAGTGTTTGGCTTTATAAGACAACTAGACATGTTCAAAATGCATGGAGCCCCCGGTGGCGCAGTGGGTTAAACCCCTGTGCCGGCAGGACTAAAGATTGACAGGTCACAGGTTCGAATCCGGGGAGAGCGCGGATGAGCTCCCTCTATCAGCTCCAGCTCCTCATGCGGGGACATGAGAGAAGCCTCCCACAAGGATGATAAAACATCAAAACATCCAGGCGTCCCCTGGGCAACGTCCTTGCAGACAGCCAATTCTCTCACACCAGAAGCGACTTGCAGTTTCTCAAGTCGCTCCTGACACGACAAAAACACCAACAACAAAACATTCAAAATATGTATGACAGAGCAGCTCATACTTTCTCTTTGCTCCAGTTACAACATGCAGCCCTGGTGATTGCCAGGTAGCATATGCATCCAGTTTGTTCTGTTGTTAAAAAGGTTTCCTTTGTAATTGGTGATTCATTCCTGCAATAAAAGTGGTAAACTGTGGGCCTTTGACATGTACTGAATGAATTAGCCATAGCTTAGTATCTCAGCCTTGTAGGCCTCTGACTATAAACCTTTATGAGTCCTCTAAAACAAAAACCTTTTCGAAGATTTTTGTTTTCTTTTTAGTAGTTTTCTTAGAAATAGTTTCAGCACCTTAAAAACTGTGTTTCAGTTCCAGGAAAAGCGTATAATCTGACCATGTAGCTAATGCTATATTCTATGCAATGCTTATGGTTTCTGTATGCAAGCGATATTCCTGCACCCCTAACTCCTCCCAATTGTGGAGGGCTGGCTACGTGATGCATCTGCTGTATACATCTTCCACTTTAGGACAGAATGAAATACCTATTCATTGTCCTAGATTTCATTTCAGTTAATTTCATTGACCAGTTTCTGGGACCAGGAAGATCAGTCACAGTTAAGCTTCTGTGCCCATCCATTGCATCCCCCTCATTAGAAAGGTTCCTTCCTTAAAAGTTTATTGAATACTTAATGGTCTTCCACATTTGGATTCATTCATGCCTAACATTTTATGTTTTCATTCAGCTGGAACAAAAAGTAGACCATCTGGATAACACTGGAAACAGACAGTCGCAAATCAGATGCACATCCATACCTACTTTATTTATTTATTTATTTATTTATTTAAACTCCTTATATATTTATTTATTTACTTCATTTATATCCCACCCTTTGTACCCCAATGGGACTCATAGTGGCCTTACAAAATAGGCAGCAATTTGATACCATAAACAAACATACAATAAAATAAACATTTACATTAAAACATTAAACAGCACAATTTAAAACCCATTATTAAAAGTATGTTATCCAAAATCATGGTCCAATGCTTTTTCATTTGTTGTTTCACTATTCCTTATTCTCTTATTGTATTAAAAACTTGCTGTCCAAAAGCTTGGTTCCATTACCATGTTTTTACTTTCCTGATGGTCAGGAGAGAGGGGGATGATCTAATTTCACTAGGGAGGGAGTTCTATAGCCAAGGGACCACCACTGAGAAGGTCCTGACTCTCACCCCCACCAGCCACACCTGCGAAGGTGGTGGGACCCTTAAGCCCACCCTTGGAATCTGCTTTGTCCCTTTCACACTTTGTCCAGTTTTATCCAATTAAATGTGTGTCTTTCCCCTTTTTTCCTACTTCAGTGCTTTACTGCTTCATTGAAAGAGCATAGCACTCTCTTGGTTTTCTCATGGTGAAATGAAGTTCTGGATGATCTAGTTTAGTTAGACTTCATAGAAATGTTCTTTGGAGGAAAAAACAAAACAAATGACAAGACAATGCTTGATATGGGGGTCTTGTAGTTTTAGATTTTTTCCAAAGTACCAGAGATCGGCATCATGTTTGGGCCTGTTGGTTACAACATTTTCTTTCCTGGAAACATGCCAGTACCTGCTGCCAGTGTTTCACTTGTCTTGACTAGCACTAGTCAAGGGTCAACTTATTTGAGTAGCCATGTCATAGATCAATGGAAGTGGATGGGATGGAACAGTAATTTTTAAATGTGTTGTTCAAATAAACATGACTGTTAGAAAAAGCTTTGTTTTTCTCACAATCAATTGATTCCAAATTCATGCTGCGGCTATAATGAAGAGGCCTTGTTTTCTGGGAGATGGCACTCCACAAGGTAACTTAAGTAGTATTAGTCTAAGACTGTGAAGCAATGTGCTAGAAATGTATCTATATCTATATAGATACATGCTTTTCTGTTAGTTTCCCCATCCAACATTGAATATTAAGATTTCAAAAACCTTGTGTTTATCAATCATAATTGGACAGAAAAAGGCTGAAGTAGTTGGCAAATGTTCTGCCAATCTGTCCCCTTTCTGCAGAAGCAGGTTCATTTTAATTCTTCTGCAGAACTTTGAGAGACTTTAGAAGTAAGAGGAGATTTGGAGCAGCTTTTTTTTTACAGCTTTCCTCATTTGAGAACTCACATGCACATTTAAATATACTTGACTTGTGAGTGTCACAAACTTACAGCACTTTTTCCATGCACATACTTGATAATTTTGTAGCATCCTTGTTCTTATTATGAAGACAAGCACAGTTGTTACTGAAAGGCATTTCTTTGTATCAATTAATGTTTATTGTTTTTAGCCAGGTGCTGGAAAAATATCACAATTATATAACTGCAAGTGAAAGTAACTATTCAGAGAGAATGTCTAAATTTGTAACATGATAATGTACACTTTTAATGAAAAAATCATGAAGCCTCCATAAGTCAATAAATGTTTTCAACCATAGAAAATCAACAGAACGTAATCTGAGACATGTGTTTGTATATTTAGAACAGCAACATTCTTGCAATATTCGCCCTGATTTTGCAAAACAATAGCTTGCACAAAAATTACCTTTGATTCTTGTTCTATGGGTGCAAATTGAAACAATTAATTATAATAGTAATATATACCCTTGGGTTGATGTGAGTTTTCCAGTTAGTATGGCCATGTTCCAGTAGTATTATCTCCTAACATTTTTTCCTGCATCTATGACAGGCAACTAGATGGATTGATAACTGGCAAATAGAGGGAGAAAACGTGGAGGCAGTGACAGACTTTGTATTTCTAGGTGCAAAGATTACTGTAGACGCAGACTGCAGCCAGGAAATCAGAAGACCTTTACTTATTGGGAGGAGAGTAATGACAATCTCAATAAAACAGTGAAGAGTAGAGACATCACACTGGCAACAAAGATCCGCATGGTTAAAGCAATGGTATTCCCCCGTCGTAACCTATGGATGTGCGAGCTGTGGACCATAAGGAAAGCTGAGTGAAGGAAGATAGATGCTTTTGAACTGTGGTCTGAAGGAAAATTCTGAGAGTGCCTTGGACCACAAAAAATCCAACCAGTCAATTCTTCAGGAAATAAAGCCCGACTGCTCACTGGAGGGAAGGATATTAAAGGCAAAGATTATGTACTTTGGCCACATAATGAATAGACATAAAAGCTTGTGGAAGAGAATGATCCTGGGGAAAATGGAAGGAAAAATGAAGAGGGACCAGCCAAGGGCAAGATGGCTGGCTTAACCTTGAAGGAGCTGGAAGTGGCAATGGCCGACAGGGAGCTCTGGCGTGGTCTGGTCCATGAGGTCACAAAGAGTCAAAAGCGACTGAACGAATAAACAAACTAACATGGCAGGCATCCTTAGAGGTTTGTTCAGAGCTTTGTACAGAGAACAAACTTCTGAGGATGCCTGCCATAGATGCAGGTGAAATATCAGGAGAGAATATTACTGGAACATGCCCATACTGACTGAAAAACTCATAGCAACCCAGTTATTTCAGCCATGAAAGCCTTCACAACACAGTAGATTACCTTGCTGAGTAAAGCCTCAAATATTTAAAAGGCAGTTCTGAATTGTGCAAAACGAAACTAATCAAATAACTTTAAAACTAGGGGTGTGTATTTGAATATTTAGTAAAATTCTCAAGAATTCCTGAAATCAAGAATCACTATTTAGTGTAGTCCCATCCGTCCCCCATATGAAATAAAGGGTTGAATCCAAAACACAATAATTTGGATGTCTGTAAGGGGATCTTGGATTCAGTGCCTATCAAAGTGCTTGGTTAAGACAATTGTTAGTGTATCTATATCATAGTTCTAGCAGTCCTCACTTATTGAGAGTGAAGCATAAATAGTTTAATTTGTGAAGTTCTAGATTGCAGTCTTTGACTAATATAAAAGAGTGGTTTGGAGTTATTAATGTTTTATTGTGATTAATATAAACTATAAAATATCCATCTTCATTCCTATCATAGAATCAAACATCTGAAAAGGAAGAGAGTGGAAGCAGTGGTGAAGAAGAAGAAGTAGACAGTAATGAAAAAGAAGTAGACAAACACAAGGGAGATGAACAAGATGCTGTAGAGCATAATGATAACCAAACACCTGAAAATGCAGGACATAGCAATAAATCAATAAAGAGTGAAAAAGAAAATCAGGTGGCTATTGAAACTCTAGAGGTAAGCTATTTGCAAGGTTTTTTAAATATCTATTGGTAATTACCCATTGTAACGTGAGGCACATGCTAGAATATATTTCTACATTACATGCACTACATTAGTTCTCAGATTTTGCTGTAAACTAAGCACTTACAAATTGTTATATTCTGAAAGACAGAATCGGTATGGACGTTTGATGTGGGTCTGGAAACTTTTATTCTTAATGTTGAACTTGGCTATGAAATTTCTTTATTCAATGATACTACAGGATGAGATATCGTCAGGTGAGGAAGAAATTGCTGGCGGCAGCGATGAAGGAGAAGATGATAAAAAAGAGGACAGAGACAAGGAAGAACAAAATACCGCAAAGCATAAGGATAATCACACACCAGAAGATGTGACTCAGAGCAGTAAATCATGTGAGAGTGAGGAAAACAATCATATGACTACAGAAACTATAGAGGTAAACCATCCATTCATTTTCAGCATGGACTTAAAATAATATATATCTTCCATTACCTACTGGACATACATTATATGTCAGCATTACACCAGAATTTGCTGTAGTGTTTTAACTAAGAGAAAATACTGGACAAGTTAATAAAAACACACATTGAAGGGATGTGAAGTACTTTTTTAAAAAATTTAGCAGCATCTATGAACAGACCATCTTATAGAGCAGAGCTTCTTAAATTCTTTCACTTGGGACCCCTTTTGACGCAATAAATGTTTAATTTCAGACATTTACTGATAACAAATATGCATTTGTGAGGTTTGCTAAACAGGCTGATTTTTCTTTTTACGGAGAAAGCTGAAGCATCTTCTGCAGAGTCCACTGTAAACATTGGAATCATAGAATCATACAGCTGGAAGAGACCTTGTGGGCCATACAGTCCAACCCTCTGCCAAGAAGCAGGAAACATTGTGCACCAGGCTTTGAAGCTGCAAGGCCATTAAATGCTAATCAAGGTGGCCAGTTGCAACATTCACACTTACCTAAAGCAAACAGGAGATCTTTCTCTCACCCTGGGCATTCCACAGATATATAAACCTCATTTGACTAGTTTTCAACAGACCCCTCAACCTCCGAGGATGCCTGCCATAGTTATGGGTGAAACCACAGGAAAGAATGCTTCTGGAACATCGCCCTACAGCCCAGAAAACTCACAGCAACCCAATACAGCAGGGGATTTGATAATTCTCTTTAACAAGTAATTCTTTCATATTTCTTTTCTAGACTTCTTTTTAAAATCTGTCACAAATATTTATAGGTGTATATAATTTTCCAAATAATAACATTATGATTTCTTGTTTGCTTTTTTGTTTGTTTGTCACTTGTAGAAGGAAGGTTCTATTCCAGATGAAAATGCAACTAAGCAAGGTGGGAAAATAAACCATTTTTCATCCAACATTTATGGTCCTGCTCCTCAAAGGAAGAATGTGTCCTGTATTTTCCAAAGGCTTCCTAATCTTTTTGGGGGGGTTGGTAACCTTCATGCTGGTGTTTTTCTCAGTACTACTTAGTGTCTGGTACTCGCTCTGTAGGGTTTGATAAGGATTTTTTTGAGGTCAGGCCACGAAGTCTTTGTTTCTGGGACAGTGTTTTGCTAAGTTAGTTGTGTGCTTAAAGAGGGTCAGATATACCTTCCATTTTTCAAGTGGTTGTATTATTTTTATTATTTTTATTTATTTTATTTATACCCCGCCTTCCTCCCCAGGAGGACTCAAGGCTGCTAACAGTCTTAGTTTTAGTAATGCAGAATAATCTATTTTAGTTATAAAAGAACCTGGAAATAAGAGAGTGGATTATTTGCTGTTTTCTTCCTTTCATGTTGAACATGTCCTGCCTTCTGTTTCCTGTAAAAGTTTTAGACAAAACATTTCACATGCCTATTAATATTAAACCCAATCATCTGCCATATAAATCCAGAGTTCACTTTAAAAACAACAATAGCTAAAAATAGGTATAGGATAAATAAAACTGAAATTCTTGAGGTTTGGCTTTACTGTTTCATTCAAGATGCAAAGCCTGTGGTATTAAGCTTTGGATTTGACATAACTCAAAATGTTGGTTCATCTACTATGTTATTTTTAGAGAGTGAGAAAACCGAACTACATGCTACAAACTGTTCTTCTTCAGCCATTGAAAGCAGTCAAGACAGAACGACTGGAGGACTATTGGACAAAGCAAAAAGGGTAAAGGATGATGATGATGATGTAAGCCTATGCACTGAACAGCAAACAGAAAACAATCTGAACATTTCTGTTCAGTTTCATTTACTTTTCTTGTGTCTCCATTTCCCATTGTGGACATTCAGTGTTCAAGTATGGTCTTTAGGCTCTGACCCTATGCAGCATATATGCTAGCCCTATGATTTCACTTCCCTCTGTACAGAGTAAGCAATAAAATGGGCTGGGGCCATATCCATCTTTAATCTCTTTAATCTCTTGATGTGTCCATGCAGTTTAATGTATAACTATGTAATAGTAGAAAACTAGTGTGGTGTTGTGGTTTGAGCATTGGAGTATGGCTCCGGAGACCACAGTTCAAATCGCTCCTTCAGTCATGGAAACCCACTGAGGTGACCTCAAGCAAGCCACATGCTCAGTCGAGAAGGAGGCAAAGTCAATCTCCTCTCTGAAGATTTTTTTCCCAAGGTAACCCCATGATGTCATAGGTAACCATAAGTTGGAAACAACTTAAAGGCATACCACAACATGTAATAGCAGACAAATTTCTTTACAGAATGAGGTTGCATATGTTAGAGGCAGGGCTTACATGCTCAGCGTTAAGGCTTGCTTTCTGTTCAGACATAATACTTGCACAGAACAATCTTGAGGGACTTTTCAAGACTCTAGTTGAGAGTCAGCTAGTATTCACTGTACATTTCCTGGCTTTCCAATACCAGGCAAGAATGGATAATCTGTGTGATTTATGACCTGTACAATTGAATGTAGATCACATTTGATAAGTGGCAATTTTATCTGAGTTTAATTATCTCCCTTTTCATGAGGTTTTGAACATTCTGACTAAAATCTTTTCCCTTTAGACCCAATACGCTGCTGCCAAACACAAGTAAATTATTTCTTTACAGCATGGATTTTTGTCACTTTGACAATACTCTTGACACATGACAAATTATGTTAGTTACAATGAAAAACAGACTTTTAAAATCATTTTAGTGCATTAAAGTCAGGGTTTTTCCTTTCTAAAATGTCATATTGCTATGCATTTATGTACTTTCTATCCCTTTCTTTTGATTTCAGTAGAAGATAATAAACATTCTGTGTTGACAAGTTGACTTGTAGTTTGATTTGTCAAGAAATCAGTTATAGCCCTTTCCTACATTCATTTAATTTAGAGCCAATTCAGATTCAAACATGGAGAAACATGATACTATATGACATACCGGTTTTCCACTGCATAAATTCAGACTGCAGGTGAAAGAAGCTTAAATATTTCAACACCTGTTCTTGTTTTAATGTAAAATTTATGCTAGGAAGATTTTTATCAGTGAACCTCAGATGGGTTTTTCTATATATAAAAGGTAAAGGTTTCCCCTTGATATTAAGTTTAGTCGTGTCCGACTCTGTGGGGTGATGCTCATCTCCATTTCTAAGCCGAAGAATTGGTGTTGTCCATAGACGCCTCCATGGTCATGTGGCCAGCTGAAGTGGCACCAATTGATCTACTCACATTTGCATGTTTTTGAACTGCTAGGTTGACAGAAGCTGGGGCTAACAGTGGGAGCTCACCCCACTCCCCAAATTCGAACTGCTGACCTTTTGGTCAGCAAGTTCAGCAGCTCAGTGGTTTAATCTGCTGTGCCACCAGAGGCCCCTTTTCTATATATAGGTAGCATTAAAAAAGAAATTGTGAAGGCATATTGGAACTTGGAATCACCAGCTTATAGTTTAAAGAGGTACAGTAAGGAGGGGATGGTACCATGTTTGTGCACATTTTTAAAAATTAACAGGAATTTGTAATCTGGTTCTAGATCTAGGCATTTCCATGATAATTGTGTTGCAAGATATTGTGTCCCTTTATTACACTTTACAGATACTCAAAATCAACTTTGTTTTCCGGTATGTGTGCTTAGGATGGAAGTTAAACCAATCTTGATGACTTGGAAAATATTGGACATCTCTTGTTTAGATAGAATAGTACACGTCAATTAAGTTTTTCAGTCCCAAAACAGAATAATTGCTTGGGGATATATCTCCCATTATTTTGCAAGCATAAACTTCTGCAGTCTGTTGGGATGTTGTAAACAAACATCTGTTATCAGTTATCATACAGCTGTCTATTGCTTTGTTTCTGCTTCAGTAATTTGTTAGGAATGTTGCTTCTTTAGCTCCATTCTATTGGCTGTAGTCATAATACTTTGCATTTGTCATAAGTGAAATAATGTGCAAACTTTGTTGGAAGTTGAAATCAAGTGGGATTAAATTCCAAGAAATCACAGGGAATGAACTTGAGTCAGGTCTTGAGTCAACTCACAAGAAATCTATATCATTTCATATTGTCTCAAATTATTCAAACATGTCCAGGCAGATTTTGCTTTTTTTACTACAATATATAACTATTTTTCAGACTTTCTTGGTTATTTTATTTACAATTGTGTGTCTGTGTTTTAGTTTTCCTTCTTTAAACGAAAGTCTTCAAGGCAGAAGGACGCACGCAATGGTGATGAAAACAAACTTGAAAAACTACCTCAAAGTGAGCAGGAAGCAATGAATCAAGTCACTGTATCTGATGTAAAGAGTAAAGATGAAAACCAGAACCATTCTGGAGGAAATCAAAGGGAGTTGCCACCAGCAAATAGGGACAGAAAGTCATCTTCTACATGTCTAGTGCTGTAACGTCGAAACTGATGGTATTTGCAAATATGTCACATTTAGAATTTTGTGAACTGGTCATTTTATAGTTGAAAACAATAATGATTTCTCTGTAATGATTACAGTGATGGATTTGTGTTTGGGTAAAATATACATGTTCAAACTGATTTAGATGATTTGCGGCTCACTTCCTAGTATTTATTTGTATCCCTAATTGTAGCTATTGCAACAGATATGGGTATCACAGTCTTTCAGAACTGTTGTGGCTTTAATTCTTAAGTGTGTAATAGATAATATATTTTTGTACTTCAAAATTTTAATTAAGGCATTTTATGATTTCCTTTCCTCAACCAATCTACAGCTGTAAATGCACATTATAAATACTATTTTGGTTCAGGCACAAAAGCCAGAAGAATGGCTGTTTTAAAATGTTTCTTTTCTGTTTGTTTAACTTTTGGAGGAAGCAATAAACTTCAAATGTATTTAAAGTTGCCATGTCTCTGTAGCAAGATAATTTTGCATTTTCTTACAAAGTTTACAGACAGTACTTTCCATGGATCAATAACATTATGCTGTCCAATTTCATTACTATGATTCTGACTAAAGCAGCTTTCATAACTTGAAACGTAAGAAACATAATTGGGATGGGCCTGTGGGAAGAGAGGAGTCTTGGCTATGCTGCAACAAATATAAACCTTATTTCCAGTTTTCAGATTGTTTCTATGACATCTAGCTTTGTGGAATCATTACATTCATTAATATGGACAGACCATTTTCTTATAGATATTTTTAAAGAGGGAGCAATAAATGTAAAGGTCAAATATTAAAGGGGGTTTTAATATTGAAATATTACGACTACTAATTATTTATATATTTTTAAATGGATGGTGAAGACCAGAATTGTTAATACGTTTTCTGTAACTTGGCTCAGTCATTAACCTAAATGGAGGTGTTGTACTCATGAAATAGCTGGAAGAGCAGCTATGAAGAAACTAGGTAAGTGCTAAGCCAGTGTTTCTCAACCTTCCTAATGCCACGAACCCTTAATACAGTTCCTCATGTTGTGGTATCCCCCAACCAAAAAATTATTTTCATTGCTAATTCACAACTGTAATTTTGCTATTGTTATGAATCATCATGTAAATATCTGGTCTGCAGGATGTATTTTCATTCACTGGACCAAATTTGGCACAAATACCCGATATGCCCAAATCTAAACACTGGTGGGGTTGGGGAGGAAATTGATTTTGTCATTTGGGAGTTGGAGTTGCTGGGATTTATAGTTCACCTACAATCAAAGAGCATTCTGAACTCCACCAATGATGGAATTGAATCAAACTTGGCACACAGAACTCCCATGACCAACAGAAAAAACTGAAAGGGTTTGGTGAGCATTGACCTTGAGTTTTGGAGTTGTAGTTTGCCTACATCCAGAGAGCACTGTGGACTTTGGTGACCCCTTCAGCAACCCCTTGCGATCCCCCCAGGGGTCCCAACCCCCAGGCTGAGAAACGCTGTGCTAAGCTGTATCAGTGGTTACCAAAATTGGGAACATACATGCAATAGTATTTCTTATTTCCATCAACAAATGTGAAAGCTGCACAGTGGAAGAAGCTGAAAAAAATAAACTATTTCTAATGTGATGATCCTTCTAAATGCCAAAATAGGATGTGACTTATTGGGGGGGAAAAAGATGTTTGGCAAAGTTAAAGGCAAAAGAAGTAGGTGAAGACTACACAGAGGTGAACTGACTCAATCAAGAAATCCATGGCCTTGAATTTGCAAAGGTTGAGCAGGACTATCCATAACAAGATTGCTTAAAGGTCTCCTGGTCATAAGGTCACCCTTAACTGAAGTTGACCTGATGGCTCACAACAGCAAAACAAAATAAGAATCTGGCAAACTGAAGACAAACTAGCTCATTAAAAAATCTGTTGCGATATTGATAGATAACTAGGAAAGCATATAACCTTCAACAACACTCCAAATAATGAAAACTTAAAATAGCTTCATGTACAGCAGTGATTCCCAACCTTTTTTTGAGCAGGGACCACTTTGACCAGGAACCACTCTCTAACATTAGTACCAAAAGGGTTACAAATTGCTTTTTGCTCAATTTTAGATTCTGTTTGGGTATTTGGGATGCTGATTCAGAAAATTGCATTGGATGGACCACATCAGCTCTAGATTCTAATACAGAGCATACGTCATCCAGTAGTCGCCATCTGCTCTCCCACAGAAAACCATATTTAATAAGCGTCAGCACTATAACAGCATTTTGAGAGACCAGTCGCTCTCGTTGCAATGGTGCAGTAATGGTGAGGCTGCGGGCCATATTTTAGTTCTTGCGGACCACGGATTGGGAACCACTGATGTACAGGTAAAGAAACACTTGTGCAGTAAAAGTCCGCTACAACCAAACAGTCTGTTGCATAAATGCTGGTTCTGCTGCTGGATTTTGTTTTTTAGCTTATGCGGCTTGAAAAGTGCTACAGAACCATCCAGGTGGTAAGGAAGGATAGAAGAAATACAGGTATCTGAATATTGAATATTTGTATGATTAGAAACCTTTAAACTTAATATTTAAATACTGCTTCATTTGTTTTCAAGGTAGATATAATATTCAGCTACTCTAGAATGGTTCTAGGTTCTTCATGCATAATACTTTCCTTTATGTGACCGTCTTGGAGGAAGCATACTATGTATAAAGTGACACATGGAAACACTCATTTAATTTTTAGATTTGTGGAAAGAAAGCTTTCTTTTGAAGGAGCACAGCTTGGGTGTCCTGGATCCAGATTTTTCAGGTTACGGTTATGACAAAGTACTTTTGACTAGCTACAAATCTGGTGCATCCAGTTTTGGAGAAAATGAATTTTATTTACTCCTGTGTTGGAATGTATTGCTATAAAAGTACTATGCGTGTGTTGTCTTTGAAGAGTGTCCAAAAATTTCAGCTGGAGCTGAATGCAGCTGCAAACTTCTGACCAGAGCCAATTTTTAGAAGCATGTGGTTCCACTGTTGTATAATCTTTGTTGGTTCAAATCTGTTTTGGGTTCAACTCAAAGTGACATTTATTACATTTAAACCTCTAGTGGCTTCTGGCCTTTGAAGGTAATCAGAGGACCCTGCTTTGCATCTTACCATTACCTGACAAGCAGAAAAAACATGCAAACCCTGTTTGGAATAAAACGGTTTTTTATCCCATACTGTAATACGTTATTTCTAGAAGATATCTTTGGCCTAATGGGAAGCAGTGCTAGAAGAATGGTGTGAGAAACGGGTTGGTTAATCAGACAAAACTGTTGTAGCTTTGGATATTGTAATACTGGCTATTAATGTATTTCTGAGATTGGTTCTGAGACTCCTTCTGTCTTCATTTTGAGAAAGAAAGATAGGTTTCAAGCATTTAAAATACACAAATGCAGAAAACAAAGAAAATATCCTACTTCAAATATGTTTGCAATCTAAAATAACGCGTAAATAAAAGGAGAGCAGGCTATGGAATCAAATACAACTCAGTCTTTCTTTTAAACTGCAGGGGAGAGCAAGCTTGTTTTCTGCTGCCCTGGAGGCTAGGATGAGGAACAATGGCTTCAAACTACAGGAAAGGAGATTCCACCT